AGCTGGATATTTTTTCCTCAAAAAGCTCTTTGCAAACAAGACAACAACACTGCGGGTGACATTGCGCAGAGCCAGCACAGCAACTCTCTTTGTGCCATAGATTCAGACACACACACACACACACACACACGCATCACCTGCAGCTCGACGGCGTCATCCCGGCGCTAGCTCTTCCAGGCAATTGGCAGGCCCGAACCACCAAAACGCAACTTAGGCAGCTACTCCCCATAGCTGGACTCGAGAAGACGGCCATACATACTTTCACCCTGGCCCAGCCCCGTGGCCATCCCTACGCCCTTGTCAACTCCCCCTTCGCCTTTGCAACACCATGGCCCCGCCCAAGCAGAGAAAGATTGCCATCGTCGGCAGCAGGGCAGTCGGTACGTCGAGGCGCGTGGCGTGCGCAACCTTCACATGCAAGCCGCAGCAATGCAGCAAAGGCAGAGCATACTGACAAACCCCCTTCTTCGCAGGCAAGTCGAGTATGACGGTGCAGTTTGTCGACGGCCACTTTGTAGACAGCTACTATCCTACCATTGAGAACACGTTTAGCAAGATGATCAAGTACAAGAACCAAGACTATGCCACGGAGATTATCGACACAGCCGGACAGGTACTTTGAGGTTTTCTTTTCTCCCCGCGTCGCCCTGCCCTGCCCTGCCCAGCCCACCTCCACACCCCACTCTGCTGGTGCTTCGTGCGCCGCGACTGGGCCTGGGATGCGCATTGCTTGCATTCGAGGCCGCCTTCGCTGGAACCATGTACTACTCTACTACTACTACTACCACTACTACTACTACTACTACTAGTATATTATGAACAAGACAAACAAGAGGACTCGACTGACTCGGCTGCTGCTGTCCAGGATGAATACAGCATTCTTAATTCGAAGCATTTCATCGGCATCCACGGCTACATGATTGTCTACTCGGTCGCCAGCAAGCAGAGCTTTGAAATGGCACGCATTATCCGGGATAAGATTCTGAACCACCTGGTAAGTGCCGGTGCATACAATGGGCCATTGTCACAACGACATTGAAGCTGACCATCTTGCCAATGCCAGGCCGTCGAATGGGTTCCCCTGGTCATTGTAGGTAACAAGTCGGACCTTCGCCCCGAACAACGCCAAGTCACCCCCGAAGACGGCCGCGCGCTCGCCGCCGAGTTCAAGTGCGCGTGGACCGAAGCCAGCGCCCGCTACAACGAGAATGTGCAAAAGGCGTTTGAGCTCATGGTTGCTGAGGTGGAGAGATCTCAGAACCCTGGTGAGCCGGCAGGCGGCAGCAAGTGTTCAGTCATGTAATTGAACATTGTTGACTGACATGAGCGCGTCCTCCCCTCCCCTTGAAGGCGTCGGAGTGGACAGGTACAAAGCGTTGCAGCAAGAGGACGAGGAGCGGGACAAGAGACGACCGAAACGAAAGGACATGGTGAAGCATCCGGTGAAGCATTTGAAGAGGCTCTTTGTGGAGAAAGACTAGGGCGGGGCCATGTGCCGTTTTTCTTTTTGCTTTTGTTTCTTAGACGACATAGACGTGGGCGGGCTGTTTTGAGGCAGTCATGACATTTGTTTATGCGGACACGACTCTTATGTTGTTCATGAGAGGCGAGGTGCGTACCGGCGTATTAATGGAGGAGGCGGGGTGGGTGAACTCGGCGTTGTATCTGTCTGGTATGTGGACTATCCGTGTTGCTCTCCATGACGGCATGTCACGGGTGTCGTAGCTACTGTAATGCTCCACGTTATTTTCCAAGACTCGACGGTGCAGTATGCAAAGGACTTTGTGCTAACATCTGACACGGGAAACATGTGCCATGGCTGTCTGGTGTTAGTCTGACATGGTCGCCGCTTACTCCTCCGCTGTCCGCTGTCCGCTGTCCGCTGTCCGCTGTCTGGCCTGCCTTCTCGCTCTCCCAGCAGCTCCACCGTGCACGCACACGCACACACGCACATGCCTTGCTTGCCTGCCTCTTGCCCATGCCATGCACCGACCACCCCCCAAGCCAACCCACAAAACTCGTTTAGGCAGCTCTAAAGCTTTGACAGAAAAGCCACCGTTTTCCACGGTCTTTGAGAGAGCGCCTACTCGATTTGGTAGTTTGGGACCGTAGACCTCTGTGCGGCCTCAGCTGTCCTCAGCTGCCGCCGTGCATTTGGGGCTACTTTACATACACACAGTACACACTACTTTTACACACTACCCACTGCCATCCCTCACCGCCCTAGACATGTATTACTTACTATACAACTAATAACCCTTCCTCTGCCCGGCCCCATTCTTTGATTGGCTCCCCCGGCATCGACAAAGAACCTCTTTTTTTCCCTTTCCCCCAAAGCAGTAATTTATCACATCTGCCGTTGATTGCTGGCCTTTTAGAGAAAAGGTTCCCCCGGTGCGTTTGTGGTTTAGTGGCAAATTGGTTCCTCCTCCCCTTGGGTGCGCGCTTAAAAAGGTTTAGTGCGGGGCGGCCTTTTTTGGGATCCCTGCGAACCGGCCGGCGGTTGTGGGTGCGGGACACAACTTGATGAGTCGCTCGCTGGGCTTTTGACACCAAACTGACCACGCCCGACGCGCCCCATTGCTTGTTCTCTTTTTCACCGCGACACATTGAGATTGTGAGACGACATGCTGGACTTGTATGTCATGTTTTTTTTGTATTTTTGCGTTGCGGTAAATGTTGCGGCAGGTGCTTCTCTGGAGAGGTTTGGAGGGGCTTGCATATTGACAGTGGGAGAGAAAGAGAGAGAGAGAGAGCATGGACGATACGAAATCAGAACAATGGCGGAGACTTGTGAATTCTACAACAAGGAACTCTAGCTAATCTGCTTCTCTCTACTACAGAAACGATTTCATCAAGGAGCGCGGCGGCGACCCGGAAGTGCGTATATTCCCTTCCGAAACAATGTCTCGCGCGACAAACAACAATTCCGCAAAAATGGCTAATTTACCCACGAATGTAGAAAATTCGCGACTCGCAGAAGAAGCGCCACGCCCCGGTCGAGATTGTAGATGAGATTATCGCCGATTTCGAAGGCAAGAACTAGGCCTATATACACACAAGACATTTCTAACCGTTGGACCTTTTTACGAAAACAGACCACCGCCGCACGCAATACGACGCCACACAAATCGGCTCCAAGATCAACGCCATCCAAAAGCAAATTGGCGCCAAGAAGAAGGCCAAAGAAAATGCAGACGACCTGCTCGAAGAGAAGAAGCAGCTCGAAGAGTCCAAGAAGAAGCAGGAGGCGGAGGCCCATGCTAAACTCGTCAAGTTGCATGCCAAAGCCAAATCCGTCGGCAACTACGTCTACAAGGATGTTCCCGTCAGCGATAACGAGGATAACAATGCCGTGCTGAAGACTTGGGCGCCCGAGTCGAGAAAGGCCGAGTTTAATAAGGAGGGCATACCGCATCATGGTGTCTTGGCTAGGTTGAATGGGTGCGTGGATTCTGGTATATTGAAATGGGTGGAATGGGTGCTGATGGGTTGAGACAGATATGATCCAGAGCGCGGTACCAAGATTGTTGGTCATAGAGGATATGGTGAGTGCGCCCTAGGAGATGTTTCTTTGTGGTTGTTTTTTGACAATGCGCGGTGCACTTGTTGATGGGTTGAGTGTTATGGTTTTTGGAACTTTGGACTAACTTTTGTGTAGTATGTGAAACTCCACGCTTCGATCGACAACCATGCAAGCGCTGCTTTGGACAACCGCTTTGGATATGAATAACATGGAGCACCTACTAATATATGCGTGTAGTGCCTGACTGGATACGGTGTCTTCCTCAACCAAGCACTGATCAACTATGGTCTTGAATTCTTGGTAGGTACCCAGATATGTCATTTGAAACTATCAGCACTGACAATCACCGTCTCAGTTCAGCAAAGGCTTTACCCCCAACCAACCACCCTTCTTCATGCTCCGGGATCAGATGGCCAAGACCGCACAGCTTTCTGACTTTGACGAGGAACTCTACAAGGTCACCGAAAGCAAGGACAAGCCCGAAACCGACAAGTACCTCATTGCCACTTCAGAACAGCCCATCTCGGCTCTCCACTCAGAGGAGTGGCTACACAGCGACCAACTACCTATCAAGTACGCCGGATACTCAACAAACTTCCGAAAAGAAGCCGGATCTCACGGCAAGGACGCCTGGGGTATCTTCCGGATACACCAGTTCGAAAAGGTCGAGCAATTCCTTCTCACACACCCCGAAAAGTCATGGGAGGCCTTTGATGAGATGCTTGCCAACTCGGAAGAGTTCTACCAGAGCCTTGGTCTGCCTTACCAGGTTGTCGCTATTGTTTCCGGAGCTCTGAACAACGCCGCCTCAATGAAGCGCGATCTCGAGGCCTGGTTCCCCGTCACTGGCGGTGGAGAATACAAGGAGCTCGTCTCCATTTCCAACTGCACTGACTACCAGACTCGTGAATTGGAGATTAGACATGGTATCAAGAAATTGAACGCGACCCGCAAGGAATATGTTCATGCGCTTAACGGCACTCGTAAGTTCTTTTTGCCCTGTGTTGGCCATTGGGAGGTCGAGTACTGATTAAATTGTGATAGTTTGCGCTACTGAGCGAACTCTTTGCTGTATTCTTGAGAACTACCAGACACCAGAGGGTTTCGTTGTTCCAGAGGTTCTGAGGAAATACATCCCCGGTCAACCTGACTTCTTGCCTTTTGTTAAGGAGTGGAAGGCACCTAAGGAGGACAAGGCTCTTCCAGACCGGACGAAATAGGCTAAGGGGTTTGTCGAGTAGGGGGTGTTGAAGGAGAAAGATCCAAGGACGTGGAGTGATGGATTCATATGGCGCTGAAAGACTGGCAAAACATGCCTCGCCATAGTATGATGAATACAGAATCTTGATTGGGGAAATTCCACAAATGCAACACGTGAAATTGTAACTTGCCATATCTTTGACAAACCCCAAGCGTAATTTTGTCTTCCTTCCCTTCCACCACCCACATTTTTTTCTACACCTTCTCCAAAATCTCACCCACTCTCCTCTTCCTCCCCAAGCCTATTCTCCCAACTCCCTAGCCACCGATACCCACTACTCGCCTTTCCCAACCCTTCCAACGCCCTATCTACCGCCCCCATTTCCCTTCCCTTGCTATCATCATCATCATCCCCGCGCCTACTCCGTCCCTTCAACTCGACAAAAAACACATAATGCCAATTCCTATCCCCACTCGGCCTCGTATTAATCGACGTAAGATTAATCCCTTGGGCCGAAAACGCCGTGAGGCAATTCGCCAGCGCGCCTGGGTTCGAGTGCTGGACTGTAAATGTGACGAGGGATTTCCATGCTGCGTCTTTGTTATTTGTCTCTTTGTTTCCCTCTGCAGGGGATAAATTATGAGCAGGAGAAGAAAGAGGAAGAGGAAGAGGAAGACGAGGAGAGGGGGAGGAAGACGACTGGTGTCGTCTGAGAACAAGAAATCTAGTCGTATTCCCCAACCGATCATTCACGCCCTCGGCCAGCACCTCGAGTCCGAATATGCCCGCTGCAACGGGACTCGACAGCGCCGCAGACGTGCCCGTCGCATCTTCCGCTGCAATCTGTGCGGCGCGCGAAGTAGAGCTTACATCTATCTTCTCGACGCTGCGAAAGTGGGTGGTGAGAAAGTTTTTGCACTGGCCCCAGGCTTGCGGGTGCGAGTATATGCGTTTGATGTGGGAAAAGTCTTTTTCTACACTTTTGTCCTTGTCGACTGAGGCTGAAGAGTTGGAGGTAGGACAAGGACGGCCTAAAAGACAGTGCCGTACCGCTACGTATGCTTCGTCGCAGACGAGGATATCAGGGTGTTTCCTTTCGAGATCGGCGAAGAGATCCAGAGTGAAGAGGACGGAGCCGTTGGAGCTGTTTTCAAAGGGTACGACGCCTCGGTGGGCTGTGCCGGATTGTACGGCGGTGAAGACGTCTTGGATTGTGGTGAGGGGGGTTAGGGTTGTTGTAGGGGGTTCCTGTGGGGGGAAGGTGGAGAGGGCGGCCTAGTGGTGTGTGTTGGTTATGTTGAAGAATTTAAGAAGTGGGGGGGGGGGTTTGAGAAATTAAAAAAAACAGAAGTCGAGGAAATTGGAGGGTTAGTGAGGTAGAGAGATGGGATGTTTGAGAGTGAAGGAGAGGAATAGGAAAAAGGAAAGACATGTAAGGAAACCATGGAGTAGATATACACAACTATATGAATTCTCCTTCCCCACCTCTTTTGTTCAGAATCGAAGAATTGAAAATATAAAATAAAGTAGCGATTGCAGAAACCACAGATATCAGACTAAATTCCAGTCACAACGAAAGTTCGAGGAAAGAAAAAAAACATGCATTACCTGATGCGTATAACTGCCCTCTGGCCCTAGATAGGCAACAATTGGTTTCTCCTCCACGCCCATCATATTTTGGCTGTTTTTTTGTTGTTTGTTGAAAGTTAGCAAAAGTGTAGTTAACAATTACAACTGAACCAAGGGTAGTAAACTACTATATATTCTTCTCGGAACGACGTCGGAACTCCCCGGTATCGGCGCTAGCGGAGAAGATCCGTTTCAAACGGTACTTGTGCACATACAAAGTACACATAGGGCGCCAGGACAACGAGTGTACTTTACATGCAGGGTGCCCACATAACACGGACTGTACATACAGGGCGCAACACTACGTCATACTACTGATTCAAACAAACACAATCGAGTCAGTCAGTCAGTCACCAAAATCAAAACAAGACAACACGTCAAAGTCACTTTTCTAATTCAGCTAAATTTGAGAGAGCGACGAGCTGACGCATATATGGGCGAGCAATCTTCCTATTCCTTCCTTTCCTCCCCGTTGGAGAGAGTCGCAGCCAATCAAAGACAATAACCATTCTTCAGAACCCACTCATTTCTAGTCCTGACAACAGCTAAGATAGAGCTTCTCGGACCGGGTTTTTGAAGAGGCCGAGCCTTGGACGAGACTGCTGCCTCTCCGTGCAAGCGAGAGCGGGTCGTGGTAAGAATGGGTATTGATCGACCTGCACACTATTAGCGGCAATACATCAACAAGCACACCTTCAACATACATTGCAAACCCTCCGTAGGCACTCCCATCTTACAACCTGGAGAGGCGAAGCGTCGTTGCCTCGACTACTCTGGCCTTGACTCCGGATACGTCATTTGGACTTTTCGCGCGGGTAGCGGACGTTCCCTCACTCGACACGAGTGGAGACGCTACCTCGCAGTCAGCGAGGGCGCACAACCGTCAATCATCGTAGAATTCGTCTTCATCGTCGTCGACCTCGGCAAGCTGTTCAAAGTTGAGGGCATAACGCAGGATGGCACCGATACCACCAAAGCCCTTGACGAACTGGTTACCCTCGGAAGAACGGTCCGAGACGAATTCGAGGTTGGCACCAAAGTCGCGGTACTTCTCGGCAAGCCACTCGAGCATGGAACCCTGATCAATGACTTCCATCTCCTGTCCGGTTTCCTTGTCCATGAAGATGCTTCGGTCTTCTTCCTGGAGCTTTGTAGTGTGGAGGATGATCTCGGAACCGGCAGAGCTCTTGAGAACCCATCGAGTGATTTCCAAGTTTTCAAAGACAATCAGAGTCTCGGCCGCACCAGCCTCGAGGGCCTTCAAGGTATCGTCGATACCGTAGCAGACCTTTCCAGAGTCCTTGGAGATGTGGTCAAAGTACTCGTTGATGAGCTTCTTTTCTTGAATGAACTTGACGTTGCTGAGAGTCTCGCCTGCGAGTTCAATGGCCTGGTTGAAACCGTTTTCGCCTCCGTAGGACACGTCGACAACCTTGATGACCTTGGACTGCAGACGGTTGTCGAAGAGGTCGGACTGATTGAGGTCGTTCTTGAAGTCGGCAGAACCAGCGAGAATGATTCCGGCAACGTTGACTTTGTCGGCAGTGATGAAGTTCTGGACAGCCAGTTCGGCGACCTTGCGGACGTAGTTGTGGCGCTTTTCTTCACGTAGACGGGCGAAACGCAGAGCGGATTGACCACCACGGCCGTGCTTCTTAGGAAGGTCGACCGAGAACCTGGTGGCGTTAGTATGGCAACGTGGCGGGGGTTGTACGTCAGGCTCACTTGTGGACAATTTCACGGGTGTTTCCTGACAGAGTACCGAACAGGGCACCGTTTCCGTCCATGATGATGAAACCAAACTTTTGGTCAGACTCAAGCAGCTCGCTCAGGGCCTCGGTATGGAACTTGTTGTCACACAGGTACAGCGAGGTGTTGATGGGCTTGAAGGGCTCAAAGTCAATGTTGATCTTGCGCTCCTTGCCTTCAGCGGTGATGATTTCACCGCAGTAGACAACGAGACCATTTGGAGGGACCTTGGAGTAGAGCTTCAGACGCTGCTGGGTGGATGTGATGGCGGACAGGACAGAGAGACGGTTGACGCGGGATTTGATGTTGGAGGCAGTGCCCTGAGCGCGCAAACGTTAGTCGTTGGACATAAATCGCGCAAGATCAGGTGGCAGACGTACAAACTCTTCAGCCAACATTTTGGCGGCGCGCGAGATCTGATCCTTAGGGGCTTTGGATAGTCAGTCGGTGGGCGGGTAGGCTGCTGCGCGGCGGTGACATACGGATGATGAGCGAAATCATGGATGTGCCATTTCCACGGGCGGCCTCGAGACGCTTGATGAGTTTCTTGACCTTCCAGATCTCAATGTTCTTCTCGGCCTCGTTGGGCTGCTCGTTCTTCCCGGACATGGTCGCGGTGGGTTGGTGGTTGTGCTGGAGAGAGAGGGTGGGGTCGAGAGATTTTCTCGAAGGGCGAGGGGCAGGCGAGCAGGCCAGCAAGCGACGACGTAAGGGCACGCACGGCGACTGCAAGCACGCGTTCGCAGAGTGCAGATGGCAGCAGCAGAAGGGGGTGTTTGCAGCCGACGGGCGTGGGTGAAGGAAAAGATTTGCGTCTTCGGGCTGACTGTGAGCTCACACCAGGCCGCAGATCTGGTCTGGCATCATCATCAGGCACACACACACACACTCCCATTTACTGGTATAGAGAGTACACATAGGCAGCACATAAATGAGTATGGCAACAGTGATTGGTTCGGTTAGCTGGCCAATTAGCGGACAGCGGGCGCGAGGCTGCCGGCATCCGCGTTATCAGCCATAGCTCCCCCCCGTGCCATCACCCTACCTATGACGGCTACGGTGCGGGGGCCATGGATCCCCTCGTGATAGCGATCCATGGCTCCAGGTTTCTGTGTCTTTCGATGCTGCGCACCAGGGCTCCATGCCTTGGTCGGCGCTTCTTTATATAATGCCATCCGTCATGGCTCCGTCGTGGTTATCTACTGCATCCACAGGGTGCAATCTCAACCCGACGATAGCCAGGTATTGATTCAGTAGTTCCCGCCCCTGCAGGGTTTCGATCAAACCAGTTTTTTTATATCAAGCCTCGTGCTCCACTTGCGCCCCTTGATCGTGTGTCTCTCTTCCCGTCATTGCCGGCACTCACCATGGACATCAGAGGAAAACAGCCCTCGACTTGGGACGACTACGATGGCTCCGCCAGGGCCTCAATCGACTCGGACACGGGCAGCCGGGTGCAGTGGGACCGCCTCGAGAGGCGCCCCAGTGGCGAGAGCAACGCGACAAACGGAGGTCGCTGGTCAGGAGCAGCTACTGAATTGCGGCGACGGCGGTGAGCATGGCTCCTAATCTTGGTGTTGCGCGTGACGAAGCTAACAGGGTCTTCCAGATCTTCCATCGGCCAGCAGTTCGGCGCACTGGGCGACGCTGGCGGCGTAAACAGCATCAACAATTTCGCGCGGTCATGGCAGCGTGCAGCAGGCTTCTTCGAAATCACTCCCGTGCGACCCTCGTTCCGCGTTGAACACGACGACGGCGATAGCGACGGCGCCGACGAAGATGGCGACACAGATGCGGCTGATTTTCCGCGTAGCGACCTGCCAACTCCCGTCGCAGACCAGCGATCAGCCCTGCGCAATGCCCTGCAGACCGAGGGAAGGCGTGCATCAGACAATGCGGTCACGGATGAAGAGCAGGGCGCAACCGAGCAGACCCAGCTGCTGCCCCATACAGTCGAGCAGCGCCTGAGAGGAAGGGGATCTAGCATATTCCAAATCGAGCCTTCGCTATCGTCGCCCTTTGGAGCAAGCTACGGCACTGCTTACGGTAGTTTGAGCTCGCGCGTCAACGAGTCCTCGATGCGCCATGCCGGGCGATTGTTCACCGAGCAGCAGCTCAAGGGCGCTACAGAGCCTGAACAGGAGCGAGAGCCGCTTCTTGTCAAGCAAGTCGAGGAGGATGGCCATATCATCAACGTGGTTGTGGGCCAATCTACCATGCCTCAGACCATTTTCAATTCGGTCAACGTGCTGGTGGGTGTGGGACTGCTCACCCTTCCTCTGGCGTTTAAGTACTCGGGTTGGTTGATCGGTATGGTTTTCCTTGCCTGGTCAGCCGTTGTCACTGCCTATACTGCGAAGCTGCTTGCCAAGTGTCTGGATGTCGATGGTTCCTTGATCACCTTTGCCGATCTGGCCTACGTTTCATATGGCTCAAAAGCCCGAGTGGCCGTCAGCATGCTGTTTTCTCTTGAGTTGCTCGCAGCTTGTGTTGCACTTGTGGTCTTGTTCGCTGATAGCATGGACGCGCTGATTCCTGGATGGGATATCTTGCAATGGAAGATCTTGTGTGGTGTGATTTTAATACCACTAAGCTTCCTGCCGCTCCGCTTTTTGTCATTTACATCTGTTTTGGGTGTCATGTCTTGCTTTGGAAGTGAGTAAATGACTGTGCATCCCTAAATCTCGTTTGCTAACACCCGCTAGTTACCATTGCAATCTGGATCGACGGTCTTGTGAAGCCAGATGCCCCCGGCTCCATTCGCCAGCCAATGACACAGTACCTGTTCCCCGACAACTGGCTTACCGTTCCACTCTCCTTTGGTCTCCTCATGTCTCCTTGGGGTGGCCATTCTGTGTTTCCAAATATTTACCGCGACATGCGACACCCCTACAAGTACCGCAAGGCTGTCAACGTGACCTACATCTTCACCTACATTATCGACGTCGGAATGGCATGCGCTGGCATTCTCATGTTCGGCGATGGCGTCTTGGAAGAAATCACAAGCAACATCTTCTTAACAGAGGGTTTTCCTAAGGGCATTTCAGTATTCATCGCCATCTGCATTGCCATCATCCCGTTGACCAAGATCCCATTGAATGCTAGACCCATTGTAAGCACCCTCGAGCTTCTCTTTGGCCTAGACGCACGATCTCTGGCCATGTCACCTTCCATGGACGGCATGGACGGACTCACCCGGGGATTCTTCAAGATCTCTTTACGCATCATCACGATTGTTTTGTTTGTTTTCATCGCTATCGTTTTTCCCTCCTTCGATCGCATCATGACACTTCTCGGAAGTGTCGCTTGCTTTAGCATTTGCATCATCCTACCGTTGATGTTCCATCTGAAGCTTTTCGGAAAAGAGATATCCAGTGGAGAAAAGATGATGAACTGGGTGCTGATCATCGTCAGCGCCATAATGGCCGTTGTCAGTACTGTGTTTGCTTGCATACCTAAAGAGCTCCTTGAGTCATAGGTACACAAGATGTTGAGGATAGAGATGCGAAAAGTCTATACGTGGTAGTGTTTTCTCAGTACGCATAAAGCACGATATCCGGGAGAATTTGGCGTTTTTGAAGCATTTACTCTAATTTCCTTCTAGTCATGAACTACGTAATTCACAGTATACATCATTGGATGTTGGGTTTCACAGGCTTTGCAGATACGACTGTTACCTGATTCTGTCACATTTCCTTTCACCCCAGAGTCATAGCTCTGGATTGCTTTCACTTTTCACCGCACCACCTCATGCCTGTCATAAAAATTAGATTGTTCAAGTAAAATAAAGCAGCTTTCTTCTCCAGTTATCCCTTCATTCATTTTGATTCAGTCGCACGCTACCTCCATGAGGTCGCTCTTTCTAATTGCATGTGCAGCATGCGCCACTTTTGTACACGCCCTTGTCGTCCCGGATGTCCCTTCCGAGCTTGTCACGAGCGCTACCAACAACACCCTTCCAAGTGAAAATCCTCTTGAGGAGTGGTCTGGACCAGCAAAGGCGGCTGCCGACGATCCATGGACGCTCTCCGTTGCTCGAGGCGCAAAGCTGTTGCAAGGCATGAAAAGCAACGATGCGGAAGCAGCGAGCCTCTACGGCTTAGAAACCACAGCGGAATCACCCTTTGACGGTAATCTCATCGAAAAGTTGCGCGAATGGGGCTACAATGATAACAACGACGCTCTAGCCAGGCAAGCAGACCCAGAGTGCGACTTCGACAGTCGCGATGGCCACATGCTTAAGAAAGCCTTTAAGGACCTTGGAATCAGGACAAACAGCAAGGGCAAAGGGGGGCCAAACCAATGTTTCGCAATTGAGCATGCCAATGGTCCAGCTGTCAGGTTGGGAGACAATGGAAAGATCCCCGAAAAAGCCGACCAGCGGTATGAAGTTTGTGGAAAAGAGTACAGAGTCACAAACGCTGAGCATACAATTGGCGTCAATGCAGAAGCTGGAGCGGTATATGCTATGCAGCTTTCCTCGGCTGCCAAAGCAGCGCACAGACTATGGAAAAGAGCGCCGCTCACTGAAGAACTTCCAGCTATACGTAGCGTCTCTGACATTGCATGGGCGTTTTGGCATCGAGCACATGATTTGCAAGGCCTGGACAACATCAAGTATCTCTTTGTTGCCATGATCATCAACAAAGAAACCAATCAACATGTCAAGCGCGCTTTGGGTACGCTGTCACCTCCAAAAGACGAACCAGATGGATGGCCAGGTCACGACTTCAACATGGATACGGATGAAGGAAAAGCGCTACTCGGCTCGCCGGTTGGACGCTGGGCAGGATATTTCTTCATGCAGCATAAAAGGCAGCTAGGAGGAAACAAATACATAGCCAACGTGAGGATGTTCAAGAGTGAGAAGGAAGGTAGTTGGCCGTACTTCTTATTTCATGTCGCCGGCCCTGGTACAGCTCCTATCTGGAAGCGGAGCGCCAGCACGGATTTAGGAGAAGGATATGTAGACGCAGGACCAAAGGTTATCATGAGAAGTGAGAATGGAAGACATGTGGTTAGAGAGCATGTTATTCGGGCGGATAGGTAACCCCACCGGTGTCTGCGCATACCTTGATCACACTTCTTTCCTACTCACCATTCAGAGTCAAAATCTCATAATTTGTAATAAAATGTTTAACATTTCATCTCTTCCACACATGAAAAATGTCAAATCGTAAACACCCCCGCTGACTAACACCCGTCGCGCCCCGATCGGCGCAACCCCAGCAAAAACCGCCGACGTCCCCCATCAAGTACGTCAAGAAATTCTGTCAAACAATAGCGACCGCAAATCCACACACCCCCAACCCACCTCCGCATACCCGCCTTACCCAAACAAAAAAAAACAATCGCCTTGCGCAAACTCCTTCGTTTCGCAATTACCCCCACAAAACTCTTTCCGAAACCACCAAAGCAACGAAAGAAAGAAAAAATAAAATCAACCATGGACTCCTTCGGCAGCGGCCTCGGCAACCTCGATCTCTCCAAGCTATCCGACCGCGACAAGCAAGAACTCCAGCAATTCGCCATGAACGAAGGCCAGAAAGCTAGAATACAATCTTGTACGTTCCTCTTCCTCCTCTCCTCTCTCCCTCTCGCAACCCCACTCCACTCCCTTCCCTCACTCTGAACCATCAATTGCGCAAGGAAAAATGCTAACAGAAAAAACAAAACAGCCATCCACTCCCTAACCGACACCTGTTTCCGCAAATGCATCCCCACGGGCACTGTTAAATCCGGCAAGCTAGACAAGTACGAAGAGCCGTGTATGCGACAGTGCGTAGATCGGTTTTTGGATGCGAATTTGGTGGTGCTGAGGGAGTTGGAGAGGTTGAGGGGGTAAAGAGAGGGAGAGAGATTTGTGGACTGTTGGAGGGGAGAGTATGGGAATTGGAGCGGGAGGGACAGTGTACGATAGGACATGATGAGATATGAATGGGGGCATACGACATGGTTGTTACGTCAATCATCTGTAGGATATATCGCAATGCTGAGTAGGGATTACGCTGGAATGGCATGCTAGGCAGAAATGCATGTATGAACGCATTGAATGAACGAAGCTACAATGAACTTGGAAAAAAGAACGGTAAACTTTTCGATACTGGCAAAAAAAAAGGTAACATCACAGCTCCGACAATCAGACATCAAACATCACACATCATTGTCAACTGCAAAAAAAAATGTTTGTTTCAGGACCAAGTTGAGTATTGGCGCCATGCGGAAATTTGTTTCATTCGAAGTCAACCTTGACTACGTTTATCCCATGAACGCCCGCCATGCATATCACATCGCTTTTTTCCTTTGCCGGGTATAACCAGGACCCTATCATGACCATCCCATGCCCTCTCTTCGTACAAACACCGCCTCATTTAAACAATGGCGAGCTTGGTAGCCGCAATGTCGAGAGCGTCGACATCGGCAGTGAGGCGGCAGAAAGCCTTCTTTGAGCCGTCGGGGCGGATCAGGGTGTTGATCTTGACGCAGCTGACGTCGTACTGCTTCTTGAGGGCGGCAGCGATTTGGCGCTTGTTGGCCTTAACGTTGCAGATGAAGACAAGAGTGTTGTTCTCCTCAATCTTCTTCATGGCCGACTCGGTGTTGAGAGGGTGGATGAGGACCTTCTCAGCGTCCATGCGAGGAGCATGGGGGACCGACTTGCGAGGGTACTTGGGGGCGCGGGACAGCTCGAGGGTCTTGGGGCTGCAAAAAGTTGTTAACATATGAATCTCGAAAGTATTGCTCTAGGGCATACCGGTGGAAGCTGGTGCTCTTCCTGATGGCGCGCTTCTTGTTCGCATACGACTGTCATCTCGTTAATTGTGTCCGTCACACGAGAAGTACAGCCCGTCAGAGGTATATTTCTGACACGACTCAAGAGGATCAGGGGAGGCTTACGCCCTTAAGGGCCGCTTTGGCAGCGGCGTTAGCCTGCTTGCCGGTCTTGGTGGCGGCTGCAAACATTGTCAGCATTGAGCGCAAACTAAGGGGAACTGATCGAGGCGCATCTGCAAAGTTCCTTTGCAAAGGTCACGCTGCTAGAGTGCAGGCGTTACTTCGCAATGTATACGTATGCGTGCTCGTTTCTCGATCTCGTGGCTGCGATATAGGCGTGAACGTACTCTTGGATGCTGGCTTGGGTCCCATTTTGGCGGTGTTGGTGGTCCTGGAGGTTAGTGTCGAGAGTCGCAATTCATTTTTGCGGCGGATGGCATGTCGGGTGCGATGGCTCGGCTAACTCGCGCTAGTGCTAGCGCCAGATGCTGCATCTCCAACTTTCAGCATGCTCTCATGCGAACCATGTGACTTGCGACGCAAACGCCATCATGGCTGTGAAAAAGCGCCAGAAGACTCTGTCGCATGGCCGGCCACCTATCAGCAAGCCGAAAGAGCGGATGACTTCTGAGCGATCACGGACCATCATTCGCACCCATCACCGCTTACAGAAGGAGCACGCAGCAGCCCTGAAGAAGGGAGACTTGTCGTCTGCAGAAGAGATTGCTCGAGCTATCGAAAAGAATGGAGGTATAAAAACGTATCAGGCGGCAAGTAAACAGGGGCAGGCAAAGGATCGGGGTGGTGATTCGAGCAAGGTCTTGGTCGAATGGCTGCAAAAATCGCACGTGCTAGGAGCAAAGGAGCGAGGTCACATCATTCCCAAACTTCGATGCCTGGAAATCGGCGCTCTTTCAACTGAGAATGAAATCTCCAAGTACTCCAATATTATTGATATGACAAGGATCGATCTCAACAGCCAGGGACCGGGTATAGAGAAACAGGATTTCATGCAGCGGCCACTTCCAACGACTGACAGCGAACGCTTCGACATCATCTCCTTATCGCTTGTACTCAACTACGTACCAGACGCCACTGGCCGAGGCGAGATGCTGAAGCGTATTACCAAGTTTATGCGAAGGAATACTGCGAAAACGGACGATTCTCTGCTTGCACTACCAGCACTGTTTTTCGTTTTACCACTTCCGTGTGTCGACAACTCCCGCTATCTAGACGAAGAACTACTTCTGCAAATCATGGACCGCATTGGCTTCAGGATGACGTTCAGCAAGAAGACGTCAAAACTATGCTACTACATGTTCGTTCTGACAGGGGAGCCTACTAAAGCGACCACGGAAAAGAAGAAGATACGAGATGGCCCAGGCATGAATAACTTCTGCATCATTGTCGAATGAACATCAGGTGCTAGAACGCAAAGGATGTAATATGCCAATACTACAAAAGCGGAGACTATAGAGTACCATGCAAGTCGGGGTCGAATAGGAATCCAGAGCGACGAACACTTACAACTGGCGGCTCTATTTTCACCTTGGCGCCACGCTGAATATACCATCAACATGCGGCGCCTACACTGGGCATCACGGAAAAGAATGCCGTTATTCTGTATAAGGAGAACACTTGGTTGCCATAAAAGTACGTACGTGTGTACATCAGGAATTGCTGATATCCTGTTTGGACCCAATCTTATCCCACAGCAGGCACTGTCATCGGGATCTTCCGTGGCATCCTAGCTTTCTCACAAATAAGCACGATCAATTCAACCTGCGCCACGCACCACATTGGGACGTTTGCAGCTGGCAAAGTGTTGTTTTGGTCTTTCTAGCGGGCCTAACATCTCAGCAGAGCAGAAGTTGTGCCGAGACCCGCCATGATATCCACCCAAGAACATACAATTCAATATCCACCGGCAATGTGCGGTATTATTTGCAATGGGTCGGCTCTAGACCCGTCGGTAGTAACTATATATGCGGTTTCGTCGTTGCGCCGATAAAGTTCCGAAGGCTGCTTACAAGGTGTTCGTTGGAAACGCCTCGGTTCTCAGGCACATGTTGTACCTGGATGGCATCCGTACTGCATGCGCATGTACAGCGAACATCACTTTTCGCAACACCGCCGCGATGAACTGCAACAGGTTGCTCGTCGCTTTATGTGCCGAGAAGTTGGCTGCCGAGCAAGGAATATGAAATTCTGCTCAATGTGTTGCCGCCTCGTTATCTCGCTGCTGTTTGATTTTCCTTTAGCGCATCCTTCATCCCAGCACCTCATCACCCACGGCCCCCCAGTTACCATTGCGCCAAGCATTACTCAAGCCTTTTTCTGAAACAACCTTAGCTCGTCCAGATCCCAGACACCGGCTTGTCAGAGTATATTTCGGGCACGGGGACAGCTTGCAAGAGGTACAATGCGCTGCTCGTGCGACAAAATTACCCGTCTTTGGCAGGTTGAACAAGGGAACATCAAACAGGAGATGAGCTTATTTCCAGTCGCTTGCGGGACCAAATCTCCACAAGGGAGTTTGTCCGAGCGCGTTGCCGCTGCCCTGCTCTCGTGAAATGAGGTGTCAGCCGGACCTGGGTGTTTATGTACCTGGGCAGGGCGCTCTCTGTTGGTCGAGTTTTCATTTATCTCGTCCGCCTCGTGGCAAAGCCAAACTCTAGTCATTCTTTCTGCTCCATCCAGTCACTCTTTTCCAAGCCGCTGCGCTGCTGTCACTCATTACCTGAACTCGTTGATACGATTTATCACATTCCTTGTCACAACTAAACTGTCGACTAGAAGTCAGACACGATGAAGTCCACTATCTTCTCCATCCTCCCCATTGCGGGCCTCGCTGCCGCCGAGTCGTACTGCTCTGTCCAGACTTACACTAAGACCGAGTACGAAACTGTGTATGAGACTGCTACAGCCGCAAAGGTTGCAGATGTCACGGCCACCAAGTCCAGCACCTGCTCAAGACCTACCGTCACTGCCACCACCTATGAGAAGGTCTACGTCACTGTCACTGCACCTGGTTATGGTTCAATGCCTCCAAAGCCTTCGACCTCGACTAGCACCGTCGAAGACTACGTCACTGTGACTGTCCGCCCATCAGCTTCGGAATGTGCAGCCACCCCATCCTCCGCTGCACTCGCCTCTGCATCACCCTCCCCTTCCGAAGCTCCCCTCCCAAGTTTCCAATTGGCGTCCAGCCCGGCAGCAAAGGCCACCTCTGAGAGCAAGACCCCAGTTGCGTATCCCACTGCTGCCTCATCCACTGTCTCTGCGGCTGCTGCGGCCGTTTCCCCCTCCGCCTCCGCCTCCGCCTCCGCCTCCGCCTCCCCAGCTCCCACATCCTCTTCCGCAGGCTCCAAGCGCGGCGAGGCTACCTTCTATGGCGGTAACCTCGATGGTGGCATGTGCTCCTTGACAGGATACACGCTTCCCAGTGGTCTCTTCGGCACTGCGCTGACCGACTCTGACTGGGATTCCGCCAACGCTTGCGGTACTTGCGTTAGCGTCACTGGTCCTTCTGGCGACAAGATCACTGCCATGGTTGTCGATCAATGCCCTGGGTGCGGTCCTCACCACCTCGACCTCTTCCCCGATGCTTTCAAGAAGCTCGCTGATCCCTCCAAGGGAATAATCCCCGTCTCTTGGGAGGTTGTTCCTTGCGGCATCACCACCCCCATTGTCCTCAAGAACAAGTCCGGTACCAGCGCCCACTGGTTCTCCATGCAAGTCATGAACTCCAACGTCCAGGTCACCTCTCTCGACGTCTCGACCGACGGCGGCAAGACCTGGAAGGGTACCAAGAGGCAGCCTTACAACTTCTTCGAGAACTCGGCTGGCTTCGGTACCGACTCCGTCGACGTCAAGATCACCAGCTCCGGCGGTCAATCTATCATCGTTAAGGGTGTCAGCGTTGCCGCTAACACCACAAAGACTTGCAGCAGCAACTTCGCTTAAACGAAGTGACCTGTATTGGGTGCATAGCTGGGCCCAAAAAGTTGTAGCAGCCTTTTCTCTTCATGATCGGATTTAGACGACCTTTTTTTGTGACATATATTCTTTTCTTTTACATTTAGCCACTTTTTTTCTTGACTCAAAGCCTTGATCGGCCTTTGGTCGTTATTTTCTATTCATGAATCGTATCTATTCTTCAGACTCGGTTGGGCCATGAAACGCTTTGCTGGGTCAGCTTCACGAATGGAATTCTTATTTGCAATGTCTTGCTTGCCCCTGTTCTTCTCTGAGTGTACACAATATCAGACTTCAAAAAGCATTTCTTCAAAACGATGGCGTCAAACCTCGATATCTATATGTACATGTACTTGTAAGACTAGCCACTACCGACGCACCCCCCAAGGTCCTCTGATCAATCCAAAAAGAAGAAACTCAATACTTCATCATCCTCGCTCCTAACCCGCCAAACAACAAAACAATCAAACCCTCCCACCCCTCCCGTATCCCCAATCAAACACCGGACATTACAACCCCGCATTCATTCCCTCCAACTCCAAAATTACCTATAAAACTCGCATACTATACCTGTAAGCAAATCCCGGGACAACAACCATCAGCCCTGTACGTCATTTTCTTTTCTGTAGAACGGGGAAAAGTAATGGGTTAGCCCATTGCCCCGCTTATCCCGTTACCTCCCGCTCTTTCAAATTTAATCTGCCTATCTTTTGACTTTATACGTCGGAAACGCTACGCTGGATTTCGCCTTTATTTTTTTTTTTATTTTTTTTTGCGCAAAAGGGGGGTAAATGGAAGTATTATGTGGTCTCCGCCCCCCACTACCAAAATGATTTTTCCAAGGGAATTCTTCTGAGGGGGAGGGGGAAGTGAAGGCGTTTTTTGCAAACAATAATTGGGGAATTCTTTTTATTGGTTGGGTGCCGGGGCGGCTCAGATCGGAAATTAGGGTTTTGTAAGGGCAGGCAGGAGGGGGAGGGGGAGGGGGGCTAGGGCGGGTACTTGGGGGCCAAGATGAACGGTTGGGTCCCGTGTGTTGTCTAATATTGCGTACGGGGATTAGAGGGCGGGTTGTAGCGTATTGGTTTATTTGGTTTTTGGATGTTGTCGTAGTCAGGTGGAGAGTGTGGGGTTGCTTCTATATTTTTCTTATCAGGGGAACTAAGTATGGGGAGAGAGGGACTTGGGTGTGTTAGAGTAGATGTGATGTTTTTTTGTTTGACTAAGAAATGGACGTAGGCATCAGGCAATAGGGTGATTTTTAGAGTAACTTCGTGCGTGAATGGTTAAACATTGTACTAAAAGTGGATATGCGACTTGTGAGAATACGTATGTATGTAAAGGCTTGATATCCTATCTAAAAGCCTCCTATAGCGCATGCGGACGGGTAAGGTTCAAGGCTTACAGTGCTTTAACACCGCCTAGTCTCACCTATTCGTAGGGACTGTCTTCCACAGTACTGTTTTTTTTCTGAAATAGCCGCTCCATCGGTGAAGGGACTGCGACTCGAGATGGTGAGTTACTATGGATCAGGGGAAGTGAAGGAAAAGAGAATGTTAGCTGAGGAAAGGACAAGAGGGAACGGAACACATGTCATCCACAAAGCTTGAATTGACCGCTAGTAAGCGTAGAAAGAAAGCACGAACAGCTAACTGACAGGAAACGGACCCATGTCAAGCCAACCCAGGCGGCCCGTCAAGTCACATCACATGTATTCCATTCTGCTACAAAAATTGACGCGACCCCCTTACCCAATCACGACATGCAGAACGAAACACGAGAACGACACACATCTCGTACGAAGTCGATGGTGCAACCCAGCTTACGCGTCCCAGCCACACCACCAAAAAAAATCACTCAGTCAGATAAACAGAGGGCAAACAAGTTCCAGATGATGAAAAACATTCCATTAATCCATGCACCCTATATACATGCACCTTCTCTCTCTCCATTACCCTTCCCCCCCACGTATCCAACAAACAACACCCCCCTTCGATACTATATCATACAATGCTATCCCCCCTCTTCCAGAATTGTAAAATAAGAGAAAAAAACGGGTGAATTGTGTATGTGTTTACAACAGGCCCAAAGCAGCGATACCAATAGCACCGATGCCGACGGCAACGCCGGCAGACATGGTGGGGGCAGGGTTGCTAGTGTGTGTGCTAGTGTGCGTGCTGGTGCTGGTGCTGGTGACGACGACGGCCGTCTTGGTGTCAGTTGCAGTGTTGACTTTGGTGCTTGTGATGGTAACGTCGGCGGCGGTGGCGAAGGCCGCGAGGGCGCAGACGAGAGAGACCTTGGTGAAGAGCATTTTTGCGTTGTTGTTGTTTTTGTTTGAAAAGAATTCAAGAGAGTGAATGTATGTGTGAGATTGAGAGGTTTTTTTTGTAGTGACTGGAGGATGGATGATGAGTTGGATGGCTTAGATATTTGCCTGAGCATGAGAAGGGGGCCCTTCTTATACCATGATTTTTTTATTTATTTATCCAGCACATATTTCCTGTTCTGTTTCTTGCTGGGGCCTTGTTTACTGCATTGCATTCCCAGTACCAAACGCGAAGCCGGAATATCCGGTTCTGCCCCAAGCGCTTGTTGAATCATGCCCAGATCGTCGAGCCTAACAATGTAATTGCTTGTTCCACCCAAAGTGTGGCGGTGCCTAGACTGGCCCGCGGAGCTTAGTATGCTTTAGCATGGCGCCAGCCGAACAGCCGAGCGATCGTGCTGATCACAGAAAGCTTGTCCTATGTACCCCACAGCCTAGCGGTCAACTGTGTGGAGTGGAATCTGGGTGAGTTTGGCCATGTTCTTCATGATTCTGTACATACATGCATACAAACAAACAGACATCCAGAGGTAAGTCATCCAACGGCTCGGCCGTAGATGCTTGTGAGGCTAGAAGATTGATGTGTGGCTAGTTGCAGTGGCGCGGCCGAATATACGCCTTCTGGCTTTGAGCCATTTCCGGGCTACATTGTCTAGCGGTACGATTGGTAGAACGATGCTTAGTCGAATATCGAACATGTGATGTGTCCCACGGAGACGCGTCTTCGGGTATAACCTGTTTCTGCACAAACACAACAGCACTTATGCGATCCAAGCTTAGTACGCTTCATCGGGTGCAGATAGTCCACCAGTACAGTATTTGAGTGACAGCAGCTTGTACAACATCTGGAACGGGTCGTTAGTAGATTCCATTTCAATGACATCTAGTTGCAGAAGCCACTGTTCTAGTCCCACTCAAACTACTGTTGCGTATCGACACGATGGGTGGTTAATCTGAGAAGTCAAAGGTTCGACCGAAGCATGGCTTGTGCAGGACATGATGCTGTCGGCTTCCATGGCGATGAGCGGAGCGTTGTTGCTTTTGTTTCATAGGCTAAGGCGTTTATGCAAACAGCATAGTGTCTGTGGCTTGATTGGTTACCTTCGTCATGGGAAGGTCGAACAAGGCTTGGGCCGTGCGAGCAGCGTATAAGCAATATCGTGGCGCAGCAGTTACGTAGCGGTGGCGGGGCGAGTAGCAAAATGCCGCTCGAGCCGTGTATAGATATACGCCAACCTAAGTCATATATAAATGCGGTTGCCTGTGCAACATCAGTTCCCACTTTGTCAGGCAATTTTCCCGAAATACGTTCGTATACTGCTGGGTGTCGTTGTATTAGTGATGAGGTTGAGTGTACTGTTGAGCCAGGCTTTTGGAGTTACATGCATCCGACCATAGCGGGACAATCCCTGTAACGGAACAAAGTTTATTCCTTCGGTCCATACATACAATCATGTGAAGTAGGTTCTGGCTACTTGCGCAACGTTACTGTACTTTCCGTTCATGGCAAAAAACGCTGTTGCTCTAAAAGAAACGAAATAAGTACACTAGGCTCCAAACATTGAGTGACGTAAATTCTTACACATTATTTCTCGTAAACAGAGTCACCCTCAACGAAGCTTGAAGATATCCCCTTTGTTTCTGCCTTCCAGAATGTCGGTAATAGCCTCACCATCCATGATTCCATGCACATAACTAATGGCCCAGTCAGTGACGGAAAATAATACGCAGTGAGGTGACAGCTCACCATTCTCCCACCATCGTATATGTACCCTGGCTTTGATAATCGGTACGCCTTAGTACATAGGGCACTTCTCCGCCCAGTAATACACAGATCTTGTCGTTTTCGGAAGCGGTCGGTGGCAGTAAGCAGAAATGACCCTTCTTAGTTATACAAAACCTTCGGCTATTCAAGCAAAGTTGTCGTTTCTCCATAGCTTGCAACAAATCCTCCTCCTCCTTCGTGGTTTTGGGTGGGATGTATTGTGCATCTAGGGGGAGTCGCTGTGCAGGAATCCATCCAGCATTTTCCTCGAAATGAAGCCCTTCGATCTGCCGGTCGGTCAAAATTGTTCTCCAGAAGGCATCCTCTTTCGCATGGGGCGAATGGTACGTTCTATTCAGAGTGTTCATAGCCATTTTTTTCCAGCGGCCAAGGATCGGTCTATTTGCGCGGCCAGCAAGACCGATATCATCTGGGGAGGGGTAAACCCATCCGCGTTGACTGACCACGTCAAACAGACAGCCTCGGAGAATTAATGTACGAGAGTCATCTCCAAACTGAATAGCAGAAAATGATCTTGACCGGTCTGGCCCAGCTGTCATGAATATTCGCTGCGACTCTCCTACATCTTGGTTCGGCAGAAAAGAGGAGACTGGTGTGATAGATCTCGAACCAAAATCGGGAACCCAAGATGGAAGACGTGAATTCCTAGTCTCATAGTATTCTCCAGTCATCCAGCGAAACAAATCCAGGCCTTTGTCTTCCAACAAGAACGAGGAGACGAGCGATAGGTATATATCCTCGAATGGTTTATTGTAGTCTACCTGAACTCTGTGGTCACCAAGAAGGCCTAAAAGGCTATAGATCTTGTCCCTAGGATCGGTTACCGATCGATATTTGAATGACCATAGGGGATTTGACAGTTTGAGTAGCTCAGGCGGGGAAGAACTCATCTGACGTGCTTGGCGCAGTCTTGTTAATGCCTCTGCAAAGCCAGAGACGAGCATGCCGAGGGTACGAAGTGCAGTTCTTTGAAGTATATTCAACCTCCAATGCAGCGGTTCGTGCCCGATATTCATCCATGCTATGGTGGAGGAATGGAATATCGACCAGGGAACACGCCGAGAGCCGCACAAAATGAGGACATCCAGAGCTAGTGCCACTTCTTGGACTTTCCACATTCTTTTCCACCAGGGACGGGAGAACAAGTGAACAAGGGACATCATTCGTCGAAGAAACTTGTCGGTCTCAAGGTGTAACAGCCAGATTGACTCCTTATCAAATTCAGCAACGGCGGCCAAGTATGGAAGGAAGTCAAGAGCTACCCCACTATCGAATGTCTCTTCACCAAGCCAAGCAATTACACGTTCTGCTCTAGTATATATGTCTCCCATTAGAGGTACTTGGACGCCTTTCTCGTCCTCGTTGTTTTGGTTAATGCATATTGCATCGATCCAAACGGTTCTTGTACTTGAAGATTGCCGCAGGCGACGCAACGCGTCTCGAAGGTTTGGTCGAATGTGGAAGGGTAAACTGTTCAATGATATCCGGCATGTACTCTCCTCAACACCCCAAGTATATGAGAGAGCTTCGTATGGCGGTGCTGAATCTAACTGATAGTCCTGAAGCCTGCAATGAATATCGGCGGATAGACTTTTTCCAGGAATGAGCTCTAGTTATCTGAAACCATTGGGTTCCAGAGGGCGGTATTGGAAGCCACGTCGGCGCCGTTTCTGACTTGGCGACATGTTTAAGCGAAGAACTTATCGACGAATTCCTGGACATAGACTGGAAGAGCCGCTGGTGTGGGCAATCTAAGTACTAGAATTTTGGTAAAACATGTTGCTTATTCCATGGTGAGGAGTTGTTGAAGGTGACAAGGAAATCAGAAAACGGCTGCCTGCTTGACAGGGAATAAGAGTTGTCCAAGGCTAGGTGATCAGCGGAGGCCGTAGCCGCCAGCCACAGCGCGTACAGCTTCCTCATAGATGTCTCAATATGGTATTACTTCTGAGTGGCGCTTGAGATGTACTTCCGACCAGCCTAATGCATTTCAAAGGTCATACCGTTGGTGCGGAGAAACCACCAGGATACGCACCCTTTATCTTGGTACAGCCTCGTTAGGCTGTAGTTCATAACTCCGCTATTTCGATTATTCTCTACAACTACCAAGTTTTTGAGGAACACGTCTCGCCACGAATTGGTATGAGGAGTCAGATGAAAGTCGGGTGTTCCGTTGTGGTCGAATCTTCTTCTCGAAGGGCAATCACGTGATTTAGTTGCTCTAATGCTCCTTCCCTCGTAAGCACGCAGCGGGTAAACTAAGCGTCGATGCTACCATTGCCATACTCATTACACACATTACTCAACAGCCTTTGTAGACATTCACATCATACCATGGTAGAAATCATCTTACAAGGCTGTTTTATTTTTTTCCTATAAATATTACAGTCATACACTGTATCTGGGTATCATTTCGTACATGGTTGTAGGCACAGGCCCAGACCATATGTGTCATGTGCAGTTCCTCAAGAGACATTATAGACTACGCTGTCCCATTTGACACGATTGTCTAATCCTTGGTGCAAATATAAATGTTGACAAGAGACGGATAGTCATGTCGTGAATAGCAAAAGCTTTGCAGTTTACCGTGGTTGAATAGCGGGAAAATATCGAGGACCCGAATAGCCGTAGAACTGAACACTCTCAATGTCAATATTGCCGTCACGTTTGGGACTCCAGAATTTGAGTAGAACATGCCTCCCGGAACTGCATAGCCAGCGTCAGCATGGTTCATCTTGACGTATTTGTTTTCAAACTCACATGGCTGGGTGGAACTTGATAGTGATCTTGTTCTTGTTCTTTGCAATAAAAAAACGTGCATGCGGAGCAATGGGTGGTTCAGCATCTGTGGTGCGCTCGGATGGCTCGATGCGACTAGGTGCAGTGATGCGTGACGCACGAATTGGCTCCATGTACCGCTCTCTCCGTTCTCTCCATTCGCTACCGTACTGACTGTATCCCAACGTGGGTGGTCCACGGATAGATGCCGGACGCGAAACTGTCTCGTCATCTTCGTCGTCGCTCTCTGGGTGCCAACGACTCTCTCTTCGTAGACGGTCTGCCATGATGGCAGCACTAGGAAGTTCTTCGTTAGAGTCCGACTCGTCATCTTCGCTAACCGCTGTTGTGACGGTGAAGGGTGGCGGGGTAGGAGCCGAAATGCCAGCAGCAGGGCTGTAAGAATCATCTGCTACATGGTCACAGTTGTCGGCTTCGGCCTCGTCTTCATGTTCGACCATCTGACGCAATATGCGTCGACGGTCTGAGTCCGAGCGCAATGAGGATATCAAGTTTGCGGATTCGGCGTTTAGCCTTTCACTGCGGAGACGAAGATTCTCGATGCGCTCCTCCATGTCTTCTTGAGTGCCTTGGCGGGAGTACTGCCATACGGACGGGTCTTCAAGGGCCTCCCGCAGAGATATCTGCTCGTTGTCTTCGTTGGGCAGGCTAGGCGTGGGGGACATAAGGGGGGAGCGATTATCATAATGCAAACTGTATGCAGATGTGCCCGACAAGAGATCATCTGCAGACATGGACACGAAAACAAGACCTTCTTGGACACTGGCACGAGGTTAGCAGTAGGACTAGACGATCAACAGGAGACACGTACGGAGCCGTAAATCCACGGTCCGGTGCTCGAATGACGACCTTTTCTAGGGCAAAAGGGGCCTCGCCAATGTGTTTCAGCAGCAGGTTGCATTGTGAGCTCTCGCTGCAATAGACACTCTTATCGTTCCTCAAGACATTTTGGACTCTGTATAGGCCTGGGGGGTTGTCCCTGCGATGCTCGCCGCCGTCACAGCTCACGACTTCCATACGCAGGCGCCCTGGCACGACCTGGCCCTTGTGGCCATACTTGAAGCACATGTACTCGGCGGGGCTGGTCGTGTCGTGGTGGAGCTTCCTGCGCTTGTGGGTGCGCTCGCTGTTGACCTGGACGATTGGGCTCCGGGGGCGGGCGAGCATGTTTGCATTTACATTGGCGGTGAAGGGGTTGTTGATGGGCACGTCACTCAGCGAGTCTGGCATGTCGTTGGTCAGGTCCATGGCGGCCGAGCGCTGTTCGCGAATACGGGCCTGGGAGCGGCGGAGGTAGCGTTCACTCGGTGTCGCCCGGGGGCGGCTGGGGCTGGCCGTGGGAGGGCGGCGCGACAAATTATCGGGAGCAACAGCGCTGTCACGTGGAGGGCCGAAAATGCGGTGCAGTGGGCCTCGTCGGGTGGATGTGCGAGCGCGCGCACGCCTGGGGGGCTCTCGCGGTGGTGCGGCCGCGGACGCCTCATGGAGCGCGGCAGTCTGCTGGCTCGTCATGGAGCGCGGCCCATTGCGTGACGACGACGATGTGGTGGGCGGGCGGGCAGCCCTTGGCGGCGAGGGCGAGGCATGGGGGAAGTCGAAGCTGCCGGTGGTGAAGGGGAAAGTTGCGGGGGGCGGCGATGGCGACGGGGGTGGTCTAGGCATGGCTGGTGACGTCGGCGCGGCTGAGCATGAGCGAGGGGAGAGGGCGAGATCGGGCGTGGAGAACAGAGGCTGGTATAGGGCGAGGTGTGGGCGGAGATGTATATACGTATCGAGTAGTATCGACGACGTTGGAGTTGGGGACCAGAATGCGCTATTACATATGGATGCGGACACTATGGATGCCGCATGTCTGGTCTCGGCAACGGGCGAGCAGGGAACTGGGGACGGGCGGGCAGACAGGCAGGGTGAAGGATGCCCTCTCACACACGCTGTGGCTGATGCCGTCCACCATCAGCGCCCTCGCCCTCGCCCGTCGCCAGTGGCCAGTGGCGGGGTGGGGGCTACGTAGTACGTAGTAAGTATATGTGGAGTAAGTGGGCTGCAGAGCCGCATTCCATTCCGACGCTCTAATTATACTTTGTCAATCTGCTACGTCTACAACCTTGCAAACATACATGGCATGGTAGTAGTTGGCGACTGCACTGCAACCTGCCTCTCACCTCCACTTGGCCTGCCTCACCCACGTCATACCACCGCTTAATTGCCTTCTTCTGCCCAGACCTCGCCTTCTCCTCCCCCATCCACTTCCACTCTTACTCTTGCCCTCTTACAAACCATGGTCGACCTGACCGAGCCCGCCGCGATACCTCCGCCCGCAGCCAATGGCGCTCTCCCTGCCGAAAACGCGGCTGGTCAGACGGTCGCTGCCATTGCCCAGGCCAGTCAGATTTCTGCAGACGAAATCGCCCTCTATGACCGCCAGATCCGCCTCTGGGGCGTCCAAGCCCAGCAAAAGATTCGCACCGCAAACATCCTCCTTGTCTCCATCAAAGCCCTCGCAAACGAAATCGCAAAGAACCTCGTCCTCGCCGGCATTGGCTCCATCACCCTCGCCGACCACGAAAATGTCACGGAAGAAGACCTGGGCGCGTCCTTCTTCATCAGCGACGCCGATGTAGGCAAGAACCGTGCCGAAGCTGCAAGGCCCCAGGTCGAGAAGCTCAATCCACGCGTCGTTGTCAAGACAATCACGGCCGACATTCGCATGGAGCAAGATCCCGGCTTCTATGCTGCTTACGACGTCATCATAGCCACCGACATGGACTTTCTCTCCACATCGGCCCTCAACGCAGGCGCGCGCATAGCAAAGAAGCCCTTTTACGTGGGCGCATCCCATGGCATGTACGGCTACATCTTCGCCGACCTTGTTGAGCACAACTTTGTCATTGAGCGCGAAAAGAGTAATCGCGACACTCAGATTGGCCCGGAAACTACAACCAGACGCGTCAAGGACGTCCAGGTAAAGAGGGAGAATGGAAAGGTCGTTGAGCTTGTCACCAAGCAGGAACTTTACAGCCCACTCATGCTGGCCAAAGACTCTCCCTTGCCCAGCGATATTGCAAACAACCCCAGGAGGCTGAAGAGGGTGCACCCACTACTCACATGTGTACGTGCGCTCTGGGAGTACCAGCGCAACGGTCATGGCATCTACCCGTCCCACACCCCTCAGGATCTTCAGCTCTTCACCACCATTGCCAATGTTAAGCACAAGGAGCTTCTCCTCCCTGCGGAAACCCTCAGGGCAGATGTTCTTAGAAGCTTCTTACAGAATCTGGGCAGCGAGCTGGCGCCCGTCACAGCCTTCTTGGGCGGCCAACTGGCACAAGATGTCATTAACGTGCTGGGCCAGCGCGAACAGCCAATCCAGAACTTGATGCTTTTTGACGGCGAAGACAGCGCGGGTCCAGTCTATGCTCTTCACCCCATCTTCCCAGGCACCCCCGTGCCCATCATCCCGAGCATCCCTGTCGACGCACCCGTGACGGTAGTTTAGAGAGGCCTGATGAAATGGAAGTTGAATATAGTTTGGGAATTCATGACGTGTCGTCCCGGACATCGGAAAACCATGTATAGCAAGAGAAGAGATACCCAAATAATAATACTGCATGACAGCGAGGGAGCAAACTGAGCTTCAACACTACCTGATCTCCTGAACCACTCTACAGTGATGTCCACTACTGCGTCTTCTTCCCCTCACCCTCCTTCTTTCCCGTACTTGCCTTCTTCGCCCCACCCCCAAACAACACCCAACACAACCCCAAAAACGCCACAAACACCACTCCCATGGTCCCCGCCCTAACCCACTCCGCCTGCCTTGTATCCAACACCGGCACATCAATCCACTCCACCAGCTCCTTGCCGCCCTCGACCTTGGGCTGCACAGTCATAAACCGCGTCTTGGGCCCAAACAAGGCCTCATACCCAAGATGCACCCTATCAAACGGATTCGACGGATGCTGCGCCCCGGACTCGGCTCTGCACGCCCAAAACACGACCGGCCACGGCACCGGCAACGTGGCATGCGTGCTCGGCGCAGCAGGTAGGTAGCGTGTATGCAGCGGAATACTAACGTTCCAGTCGCCTTCTGGAATCTCTTTGTGCGTCGGCAAGCCCTCCCAGACGTTCTCGTCGGGACCGACATCGACCTCTGGATACTCCATCTTCTCGGGTTTAGGGACGCCGAGTTCGAATAAGGCGGATGAGCCCCAGGGGGATACGGCCCAGTCGGGCGCTTCGAGGTCGGTGGCGCCGGATAGGGAGCGCAGGCGCTTGAGGTGCTTGGAGGCGAGGAAGAGGGAGTCGTTGAATTGGTATTGGTCGATGAAGAGGTAGGAGGGGAGGGTTAGGTAGGTGTGGAGTTTGCAGCTGGGGGCTGGTGCTGTGAGGTTTTGGGCGGGGAACGTGAGAGTTAGGGTTGGGTGGAGGCCAGTGGGTTGGTTGAGGCTGGTGGTGTAGGTTAGGGGGTGGGGGGATGGTTTGACAGTGGGGTTTTTGGAGGGGGCGACATGGGGATAGTGGCGGGTTGGGGTTTGGAAGCGCGTGGGTTCTGTTGCTCGAGTTAGCTGAGTTCTTTTTTGTATGTCAAGGACGTACTTGGTTTCTCGTCTTCGCCCAAGACCGTCAGGAAACCGCCGAATTGAATATCTTCGGGATCAGTGTTTCCCTCCAGATTCAGTACTCCTATCTCAACCGTGGCGTCTTTACTCGGTAACCGTATCTCATCGGTCCACCCATTTCCACTCTCGCCTGCGTTCGGCCATCCCGCAGTCACAACCACCGCCCGTGAAATGGTATCGTAATCCACATCAACATACCTCGCCGTAACAAACTCACCCACCACATCCACACAATACCCCTTCTCCTTCCCCCCACAAAGCACTCGCTGCAAATCCTCCTTCATCCCATAAATCTCCCCTAGATGCCCATAAAACTGCAAGGAAGCCGACATGGCAAACCGCTCAGACAGCACAGGCACCTTTGTCGCACTCTGCGACATAGTCGAACACTTCAACTCAGACGACACCAACTCACGAAGCGCCAGGCAAAACGCATCGTCAGCCGTATCATCCAGCGGCGTAAACAAGGCATGCAGACCCGGCGAGACACGTGACGTAAACGGCGGAGTTGCAATGTACGATTTGGGCGATTGCCATCGCAGATGCATTTCATGCCATTGTGAGAAGAAGAATTTCAACTGTATCCCCTCCATCTATATTAGCTCATCTCCTTTCATCTTTGAGAAAATAAAACAAGGTTGGGAAGATAGGGTTAGATGGAATAACGTACACTTTTAGGCAGCTCATCCAACCCAAGTGTGATACGGTGTTCCTTGGCCGCCTCGATGCCCTTCAACGCAAACACGGGACCTCGCTTGTCGGTCCCGACTTCAAGTTGCTCGGGCGAGAAGGTGTCGGAGTTGTGCACTATGTATGTGATGCGCTGTTTCATGGTTGATGCTGTTGACGAGGCTTCCGTGGGATTCGCTACTAACAGTTTGTTCGTCCCATGTCTAACGCGGCGAGCTATGTCGACCTACACGAGCGGGAAGCACGCACACGCCGCTAGTCCGGATCTACCGCCGTAGCGTAGGATGGCGCCGCTAGTCTTGGGTATGAGGGGGGCGGGGACGTGCGTCGCGGACATGTGCGTCATCGGGTCTTTTTGGCTGGCGCCGCCACGCTGAGTTTCTAGAATCAACACTGCCCTCCTGGTACGCGCAAGGCATTCTTTCTACTACTACCGTGTCCTGACACGTGTTGTTGCCACCTGTGAAGTTCTTGATAATCTACGTACCTTTACATGTTGATGTTGAGACTCTTCATCGCCTAGGGCTTCCTTTCAAACGACATGCATATTTCCAACTTCTTGTACCCGGTGCTGCTGGCCGCCAGTGGCGCTGAAGCTCTCCGATCAGACAAAGTCAAGCTTTCCAATATTCAAAGTCTTACCTTGCGAAAGGGGCAGCAAACATCTGCGCGCCGCGTTGATCCAATCCCCCAGGTACGCGAGCATTCCAAACATAGCACTGCTAGTTGAAAATACTAACATACACATTACAGCTAAAATGCATCGGAGGCTCTGCTCGCGGCCTCTACGAGCCCGAGATTATGCGCTGCAAGAATAGCGGCTCCGACTACGACGAGAACTCCATCCAGTGGACCTGCACAGCCTCCCTACCTGAAGAATTCAAACTCGGCTCCACAGACGTCATCTGCGAAGGCTACGACTACCCCGAGGACCCATATATCCTAAAAGGCAGCTGCGGAGTCGAATACAGACTCATCCTTACCGACAAGGGTCGCGAGCGATATGGCAAAGGAAGAGGCGGATGGCAGGGCGACGACGACGACGATCGACGTGATGGCCCGCGGACTACGGGCGAGAAGGTTGCGGGAGTTTTGTTCTGGATGCTATTCGGTGGCGTTGTGCTCTGGATGATTTATTCGGCATTGCGGAACCGCGCTGAAGCACAGAATGGTGGCGCTGTTGGTGGAAACCGACCTGGTTGGGGAGGAGGTGGCGGTGGTGGTGGATGGGGAGGAGGCTACAATGACGATAACAATGACCCGCCGCCACCGTACTACCAGAATGACCCCAGGAACTCCAAGTCGGGATATGGAACTACCCAGGGCTGGAGACCGGGATTCTGGTCTGGTGCTGCGGGTGGTGCTGCTGCTGGCTGGGCTGCTGGTCAGTTTGCTAACAGGGGTAATAGTAGTAGGAGTGGTGGATGGGGTTCCAACAGTGGTAGTGGAAGTGGGAGTCGCTGGAATAATGGTGGTGAAGGAAGCTCGAGGAGTTCGTCTGGAGATAGCTACTCCAGTACTAGACATGAGAGTACTGGGTTTGGAGGCACCTCACGGAGATAAAGGAAGGCAGTGAGTGATTGTAGTAGTATGTTCTCAGTTGGCATAAGAATGATACCCCCCTAGTTCTATATTTGACACAAAGCCCCGCAGCGCGAAGGCTATCTATGGAAAACAAGAAAAACTCATGGTAGAAATTTATCAATAAAATTGATCACTCCAATACCGGGGTATCTACTCCTTCTCCTGCAGAAACTCCACAACCGCTACATCACGTTAGTACGTTCCCTTCTCAACACATCACAGACACAACTCACCATTGATAAACTGCTCAGGCCTCTCACTAATAACCCAATGCCCCGCATCAATATCCACAAGCTCGAACCTCGGAAAGAACCGCCCGATAATAGGCAACGTCTCATCGCTCACATAGTGACTTTTCGTGCCTCGAATAAACAGCGTAGGTTTATGAAACGATGCCTCATCGGGATTCGTAAACGGGAAGTCGGCCATGTTATTCAGGGCTTTGGTCAGAATACGGACGGGGATACGGAACTTGAGGGGTTCGCCGGGTGCGCCTCGCACAAGGTTTGAAAGGAGGAATTGGCGGACGGCTAGATCCTTTGCGTACGGCTCCATGACTTTGTCTGCTTCTTTTTGGCTCTTGGGCTGCGCCTTTTCCACGGCTTGCATGCCCTCTGCGTACTTTGGGAAGTCGCTTGAGAGCGCCGCGTCGACGGGTGCGTTATCCACGGGGATGATGTTGGCGCAGCAATCTGGGTTGCGGAGGGCCATTGTCATGATGATTTTTGCGCCCATGGAGTGTCCTATCAGAGTTGAGTTTTTCAGCTCATGCTTTTTTAGAAAGGCTTCGACGTCCTCGGCGAGCACGGTGTAGTTGTGGACATTGTCGTGGGGGGATTCGCCGTGGTTTCGGGTGTCGATGGCGTAGACGGGGCGTTTGAGGATGCGTGCGATTGCACTGGGAGTGAATTAGTCTTGACTACGAATGAAAGTGTTGAGTGATTTGCGCATACTTTCCAACACTCTGGTTGTTTCGCTTGCTGCCAAACAAACCGTGTATAATCACAATTGGATCGCCCTTGGCCTTGCCCGAGTCATCGTGAAGTCGGTATGATAGGTCAACGGCCCTCAAGTTCGCAGAAGCGTGGAATGAGCGCGTCCATGACGGCACGAGCGTCGCATTGAGTCCGCGTATGCGACTTGTCTGCTTTAGAGGGCTAAGCGACGCAAACAGAGGTTGTGCACTCCTCGATATTGTGCGCATGTTGAAAGTTTGACATTGATGGATTTCGGAAAGCTTCCGAACTTTTTTGTAGCGCCAAGACCAACGTCATGCCGCATTTTCCCGGTCTTTTATCTTGTCTGCTTTTGCGACTCATGTCACAGCAACTACATCTTTTGGAAAATGTTGTCAGATAATGATACGAAGAGACACAGTCACAAACTTTCAGCCTGAGAACGTACCGAGACTTTATTGATTACGGAAAATATAACAGCGTCTCGACAGAACAGTAGCCAATCGTTATCAGAAGAGACTGACCATTAGAAGCAGTCCACAAACAATACTTGTATTAGTAATACGCCAAAATTGTTTTCATAAGTTGGCGAACTGGCGAAAACCCAATTCCACCATCCCCGCTCCATCGACTACAATGGTGACAACATCATCACATCCAAAGTGACTATGTGCCCGCATTATGGCTTCCCATAGAGTTTCCTCGTTTCAATATCCTACAAACACCTCCTGTAATCATCATAGTAAGGAAGGCCGTCTGCAGATCATTAGCTCATGGCCTACTTTCATCTCACGTTCCAAAACTTGCTCTCACATCCAATCTGCGTCCATCCAGCCCAAATCCAGCATCCCCACCCAGGAACCCAATCCCACTTGGTGTACCCTTGAGATCCAAAAGGCTTTCCACGAGCAGTGCAGCGTACGCCAAAGCGATCGCCACCCGTGACCGTCCTCTTCCGTGAGCCACTGAAGGGCGTCGTGTCACAGCCCTGAGAAGGGAGTGCCTCCGAGTGGAGATAGCACGTGGCGTCGGCTCTAGGAAGAAGTTCAGCAACAGCTTCTGCGCCCGGGTTTGGGCTGCTCAGTGGTACTGCGGTTGCCACGAGGGGAAGCAGAAAGAGGATTGCGTTGCTGGGCTTCATTTTTTCCGGACGACTTGAGCACAGATGGCTGTTCTTTTGAGAGGAAGAGAAAGTGTGAGAATGCCCTTTGGAGCTGTGAAAAGTGCTTCTTTCAAGTGGACTATTTGCAAGTTTATATACACACTGTGATCCGGTCAGTGGAAGTATTGAGACGATTCCAGGCCCTCGAGTTCAATTATTGCTCCTGGGCGTTATTGCCGGATACTCCTTCAACTAATTTGTGTTCACGATAGTGATAATGGCTAAATGCTAGGTTTCTCGGTTTCATCGCATTGCGGACTACACCAGGAAGGTCCGTGCCATGGAGTACCTCGCAGCAGCTCAGCTGCCAAGCCATGTATAGTGCTCCCTGCATTATTATGTTACACCTGGGGAAACATGAGATTTGAGAATGTTATCTGGAGCCTTTTGTAGTTCATGTTCATTCCTCAAGTGAGGAGTTGGAGATGCTCAATTAGGTCTATTAAAGGTATCAAAGGCATATATGCCCGGAATTAAACTAATAGATATCGCAAACATGATCTCGCTCAAAGAAACAAATCATTTTTCCCCCAATCCCAAAATCTCAATCCTCCTTGACATGCACAACAACCTTTCCCCTCGCCCGCCCCGTCTTCAACTTCTCATACGCCTTGGGCACATCGCCAAATTCCCACGTCGAATCAACAACCGCGCGCAGCTTCCCCTCGATCGTCCACTCGGCCAACTGCTCAAAAACGGCCGTACTCGGCTTTGCATCCACAAACACATACCCCCTCTTCCCCCAACTAAGCAAACTCGCAATATTATTGCCAAGCAGCTGCAACACACCACTTAAGCTCACGCCCAGCCCTACCTGCACAAACTTGCCTTCTGCGCGGAGAAACGGAGTAGAAGCACGATACAGATTCGCGGGCGCACCCACATTATCGAGTATGAGATCGAACACCTCGCCCCTGTCTTTCAGTTGCTCGATGATTGGCGCAGTGGTATAATCCAACACGTTGTCAGCGCCCAGACTCTTGACAAGCTCGATATTCGCCGTCGAGCACGACGCCGTGACTTCGTAGCCTAGTATCTTCGCCATTTGAACCGCCGCTACACCTGTGCCTCCGGAACCGCCGTTGATGAAGACTTTGCTGCCGGGTTTCGCATACGGAGCCAGACCAGTGTGGACTGTCATGCCGACGAGAGCGATGGCGACGAGGTCGTCTCCCTTTAGCCCTTCTGGGGCTTTTGCGAGTAGGTCTTGAGATACTGGGACGTAGTCTGCGAGCGCGCCGTGTTTGGGTCCTGGGCCAATCGAGCCGAATACTACGTCTCCTTCACGGAACTTGGCTACTTTGCTGCCGGTTTTGGTGACTCGGCCGTAGATTTCTAATCCGGGGGTCATGGAGGGGAAGACTAGGCGTGTTATTAGGCCGAGCTCGAGGATCTTGTAGTCGATTGCGTTGAGGCCTGTTGCGTGGCTTTCAACGAGGACTTCATCGTCTTTGATGGATGGGATGGGGAGGCCTGAGGGTGGGATGGAGAGGTTCTTTTCCATGGGTCCCGATGAGGCTTTGAATTGCCATGCGCGCATTGTGGTGGCCATCTGGGAGAGGACAGATGATATGAGATACTAGGGGGTTGGGTAGAAGAAGTTGTAACTTTGATGTGTGTTGAGGGAGTAAGCTGTTTTAATCTATTCTATTCAAGTTGAAGCTGATTATGATATCTGCGCAAGTGGATTATACTGTAGTGATGATGATTGTGAACTGATTGTATGATACCCATCCAGGCAGCCATTCTCGCGAATATATACATGTAAGACTTCTAAGGCGTCCTACTCAAAATGCTCTTACATTACAACCAACAGCGAAGTGCGCGAGCTTGGTCAGCCCTACGGCAAAACATAGAGCTGTAGGCCGACGCCAAGGAACCACAACTACCATTATACCATCGCTTATACAAAAGACGTTGGTTATGTCACCGTTCGCACGTTTGAAGGAGCGAGTTCAAAGCTTACAAATATGACGAAAGGACGAGTGCGGGTAAGTTTAGGATGACCAATACCGGTGCAGCGAGGCGCTAGACCAAAAACGTACTAGTGCGGGAGACAGAATGCGGAGTTAGCACATAGGTAGGTATCTTGACCCGAACTCATGTTGCACCTAACACTCTGCTGCGTCGTCTTCATGCAGTGTTGGATATTGGGTCTGCCTAATAGCAGACCCACTTGAAAACTTGAATAATGTCCGGGCGTATTTGATAGTGAACTGATAGCATGGCGTTTGGTTAATGGAGGGTCGAGTATCACCAACATGCCTCGTGACAAGTGGGGCTACACTGAATACACTATACCCTTTAGTCTGACTGGAATGTCATTCTTGTATTTGCAATAGTTTCAAGTAACTAGTATCCGTTACCTGCCCGGTGCTGGTGGCAAAATATCTTTTGTTATATTTCCTAACGTCCCTTGCTTCTCTCTATTGAGGCTAGTCTCTCGTAGTGTATATACATGGTTAGATGCTCCCGTCTTACAAGAGTGCAATGACACAATATAAATCTTGACCTAACTCGCTTCCCAGATGTTACTTTTACCTACGGTGGTTATCACTCACATTTTTGTACGAGCACTGGTGACCCGTTTACTCCAACTCAGATCGATAACGTCGCTCCGGTTAAAGTCCAAAGACTGTCATCGCTTCAACCCATAACTGCCGAGAAGTATATAGATGTCGTATTTCAATAACATATTACAGTGCATTATCTCTCAGCCCACCAATAGGCGTCGATAAGATATCAACTCCGCGGACTTCTTCAGGGACCTTTACCGCTCATACACATACACCTACATATGTGAATCTTTCACATCTTCGGATGCGAACTGATTGTGTTCCACTATGCCCCACAATTCAACATTCGTTGAGCCTGGTGGTCAATTCTTCACGTCAGAAAATATGGGGAGGGCCCCCCTGTTGGGAAATGAGACAGTAACCCAAGGAAGTATTTCCTGACGAAGAAAAAATATTCGTCTATGCTCACCTATTTTGGGAGTTGGATGGCTTGTGCGCATCGGAGAAGAGATTTCTCATCTCATTCCACTCTCATGTAGCAATTCGGAATGATGCTGCTGTTCTTCTGCGACGTTCAATAAAGCAAATATCTGCTGTGACTTTAACAAAACCCCCCTCGGTAGTACTCCGGCTCTCGTCATGGCAAGATCGTAGTGAGACAAAGAGTATTCTTCCACGAGACGATGAGAATATCGGAAATGATACCAGCATCGTAGAAAAGGATGCAACTTAGAGTATCAGCGTAGATATACAGATGAAAAACATGCCAGCTCTGTGTACTTCTGTAGGATCGGTACGTACTCAATTGCAAGGCTGCTTCTTCGCTAGTATGAATTCGGGACACTCCAGACGCGTCGGCCCGCAGACTTGGCTCGGTGGCGTCCAAAATATTGTACGTAAAAGCAATGGCCGCCCCATAACATGTCTTCAAAAAATGACAGGTCCGGCTGATTATTTACCACGATCCTGGCTGATAGTGCGGCTATATCTATCGACAGATCCATGGCAAGCGGCATTGCTACACTAGCTGCCATGGAGAGTACTTTTAGGGAGTATCCCCCGAAATAGTCCAGGATGCAGCTTCCCTGTAGGTAAGTTTGTCGCAAAGGGCATATGTAAAACTCCAAGCTACCCATAGTTCCGGTTGCGCCAAGGCAAACACAATCAACAGCCGTCTTTACGACCCCTGAGACAGACTTAAACCACAAGCCATCCTTTGTTACGTGGATGTAAATGACTACCACCCTGAGACAAGACATTATGAAAAAGTGACTCCAGACTGCGTAAACTCCGGTGCGCCTTCCCCTGCGAGACATCAGCCTTGCCCATTCATCTCCGTCATAAATCTCAGTCCTGCCTCTCAGCTAGAAATGAGAAACCAAAATTTAACGAGTGCGCAAGAGAACTGACGGCTCAACCCGCCTTCCCAGCCACCTTGTCCAACACTTCTCCAGCGGCTTTCCTCAACAGCTCCCGATCCTCGTCACTCATATGATCAACCTTTTCCACTAACAGCTTCTTCAAAAATGAATTTTCCTTCTTGAGCCCTTCGTTTTCCGCCTCCAGCTGCTTCGTCCGCTCCTGCATCTCGTGGGTTTTTTCCATGAGGTGTTGCTCACGCTGTTTCTTCTTCTGACGGAAACGAGCGGAAGCAGCTTGATTGCGCTTTCTTTTGTCTTCTTCTGCTTCTACAACCACTGGATCAGTGAGCAGAGTGGCATTTGTGGGGTCAGGAGACGTGGCTGATGAGGTGGATGTCGCATTGCTGGCAGGGTATGGCGTGCGATAGGTGTTAATATTGTAACCGTGCGCGGCTGTGGATAGCCTTTGAAGATCATCCAATCCGAGATTTATTGCGCTATCGGGCTCGTAATGGTGCGATAAGTGGCTTCTCATGTTTGGCACCGTTGGTGAGGTGTACTGGAGGCCTTTTGAGGACATTAGCGAGCGTGGTAAAGTCGAAAGAAAGATGGTGTGAAAATGCGGTGACTGCTGCGTATTTGATTGACAAGTGATCCGGATCAACAAAATGCATCTTTGCTCAGCGTGCATAAATGCCTCCCAAAGCAGGCAGGCCGTTGTTGCATGTATCGTTGCATCGCTTGATCACGTGCAGCTAGCGGGAGCACGCCATCCTCTCCCGGCCAAACGTCATCCAAGACCGACAATCCAGGGAATTCGGACAAGAATCCAGAACCCTGGGAGAGACGATGCTTGGACCACCAAAAAAAAGCGCGTGGAGGAGAGGTGACGAAGAAAATAATGATTGAAGAGAGATGAGGGGTAAGCTCACCTGCAACCGATGGACTGCTCTCTTGCAGGGCATACGCAAGATGCTGGCTTTGCGCAAACTCGTCATGAGTTTGGATGTGCAGTTGCTGCAGATGTTGATTGCCAGGTCGATAGGCGTGATCGTGGTCGTGGTAGAGATTGGATGCGTCGATGACATCGAACATATCAGGTCCAGAGGAACTCCCATTCGCATGCGCGTCGGTGAAGGTCGGCTGCCCAAAAGCTTGCTGACTGTAGGGATCGGACATTACTCTCCATGGGCCACATGAACTTCTGCGCAGTCGCTTCCTTTTCTCTTGGGATGGTTAGTGTTGGATCAGCGGCTCGGAGGGCTTTGTTGTGTGTTCGTGGTAGAGCTTCGCACCCGAGGCCTTTTTGGGGGTTCAAAGACTGACGTTCGTCCCTGCATGGGCGCTGATGCGCTGCCCTATAAGAACGACACAAATGCCAACCAGTTACCCGCCTAGGTGGGCTGCCTGCCCCCACTGCCACAAGTCCTTTCTCTGAGTGAGCCAAATCCAGGATTGTGTTGAATTGCGCCATATCTCTCATACGACCGTCGCAGCCCCCACGCTTCTGCACGATGCGTAGGTGCAATGGAATACCTCCAAATGCGGGCTGCACAATGGCCTTGTTCCCTGCTAGGATGCATGGGTTCGTCACGTCTGAACCTCGTGGGGGCGGGGCTACCCATCGCCCATTACCGGCACTGGCGCAGAGTCGCTATCCGGATTTCCCTGCAACTCCATCACGGCTCATGCCGTCATCGCATGGCAGTGCGGGGAAATGTATTTTGTTGTTGCTTGATCGAGGTTGCGCTGTGGAACGTATCGAATTGCTCTGGTTTTCGCCTCGAACGACGACAAGACTAGAGCAGAACGAACTTGCGGTAAGTTGGTTCCCGTCCGTTCGCAAGATCGAATAGGTGTCGTTCCTCCTGATGTGCCTGTGCTGCAATAAGGCTTTTTCTTATCGTAATACTACTGTCTAGCAAGACTTAGCACTTTGAGTCGCATGCACTGCACGCCTTAAGATTCGCACCGAATGCACGTTTCGAAGTAGCGCATATAGCATATAAAGCGTTTGGCCGGGATGAACCATGCTCAGAGCAAGACTGAGCTGCCCGATCTGTAACGAACGGAACTTGTCGCCGTTTTCAGAGAGATCCACCATGCGTTCGGTGTGATGAGAAGTCAAATCTTGGCAACCATCCAGGATGTAGAGCGAGCTCAGGAACATGATGACTTAGAAAGACTGTATTTCTGGAAACGGGTCCAGCTTCTATGCGACATGAATCGTACATTACTCGGACTCAGGATCAGGCGAGGGCTGCGGGAAGCCAGAATGCAAGCCGAAAGGGGTGATGACCTGAACTTCTGGAGAGGAACGGCCGTACGGAGCAGGAACATTGAAGGAACCGCCTCAATTCCTGCGTAGAGAGGCAACAATTGAATATCAGAAAACGGTTGAGCTTTGTAACAAAAACACTGCAGAGATTCAGAATGAGTCCCTTCCGATGTTTCTCGCCAAGGGATTCAAAAGGGATACTACTGCTACTGCCAAAGGATGAGGGAGGGGATCTTCGCTTTGGAATTGTCGCGGTCGATGGAATTGGCCAGGAGGAAATACAGCGATCGTTTGAAGGTAATCTAGTCGAACGGGACCTTAAGCTGAAAGGTTTCTGTGAGCAAAAGAAGTGTAGGATACGGGAGGTGATCTTGTCTGAGGGCCCATAAAAGTATTTCACGTGAGCCGTACCCGCATAGGATAGGCCGTATATCATATAACGACGCGGGTACTATGGAAACAGGGTTCCTCTGGTCCTCTCTGTATCGTCATCAGTAAATGTAGTTGCTTGTTCCTGTAAATCGACTCACCCTCATATCGACAATCTCACTGAATACGTTCTCACACTGAGCTATTCTTGTAGCTTCAAATAACAGGAAGTCGAGGTTTGATCCCGCCTTCACCAGTAGAACTGCCTCAAGCCAATCGGTTGCTTTTGGGGTACCAAGCATGCTGATTTTCAGCACCCATTGATGTTCCATAACCAGAATACGACTCTTGCATCTCCTCAGAGGACATCTTCTGAGGCTCCATTCCCAATAAAGGCGTTGAGAAAGTTTGGAACTCGTACCTTCAAGTCAAGGGCTCATAGATTCTTGAAAGCTGGGTCGTGCATGAAGAGCCCATTGGAGATCTCGTATTCGAGAAGGGTTCTTTGTCAGCACGAATCCTTGCGTGCTACCAGGGGTGGGGACTTTGAACCAGCACCGAGTGTCGGAATAGAGACATGGTTTCTTCTGGGAATCATCTGGGATCTAGCCTTGGTGTGACTCACAACGAGAAACCTAGCTTCTCGCAGTTTGGTCGTTTCGCACAATGGCACGTACGACGAGTTCCGTGTGTTCGTGGGGCGCCGGGAACAAAACTCAATTCATACGCCCGTTGAAACAAAAACCCAACATTGAGGGTACAACGGGAAAGTCGTGAAGACATGCGGGGTCGTGATGCAGTTCATGGTGCGCGCATCCATGAATCAATTTGACGTAGTAGTGACCTTTGTTCAAGATGATGAGAACTAGCCGGGCTAGCAATTTGAGGCGGTAATGAGAGCGCGAGTGCGGATGCTGTTAGGTGGAGGAGGAACAAATGACACAACTGCGAGAAGTCAACAATAAGAGCTTTCGGCCGATCGCATTGTAGTTGGTTTAAGGTTGCGAGGGTTAAAGAGGGTCAAGGGTAGCATGTGTGCAAGGGGGCCCAATGGGAGGTATGCTAGGTATCAAAGCGGGTTAGTATCGCCCGCAACTTTCCCCGACCAGCCGAATAGGCACGCATGACAGCTGCCAATCGGTCCTTTGCCCATGTTTGCGCTGCAGCCATATCTTGGTTTGTCGTCTTTCGCATAGGAAGATAAGTCAATGTTTAGCTGTCTTATCTCAAAATCAAGGCAGTAGTCAATGCTTTTGTCAAAATGTGACCAGATCGTTGTTTCCGCGTTTGTAAGCGACCAGCGTCTCGCGATGCGGTCTTGCCATACCTTTCTTGATCGTTACCCATCTGGCCCAAGTACGTCTTCACAGGTGCAACGTACCCATGGTTAGGTTTGCAGCAAAGAATAGACAAATATATCTCGTGCGTATTATTCATCTATATGACCCAGTATCGTGTGCTTCCCACCTACTCGCTCTAGCTCATCCATCCACCGCCTGTTTCCTTGAGGGAGGTCTCCAGAGCCAATGCGTTGGTATCCCATTCGCTTTTGAGCGGGCGAGTTCGTAAGGTCTTTGTCCGGATCTGAAGGAAGCGGCCAGCAGCGAAGCCCAGCGTAAACACGAGGAGACTGAAGAGCGCCAGGGCAACCCAGGAGTGAGGAAGATGATCGTCCCACTACGATACCGGTTAATAAACGTCTTCTTGATACAACTGCCTATAGGAACTGACCAGAAGCAGCTGATGAGAGCCATAACCTACTGGCTGGGTTTCCACACCGTCCAGCCACTTGAGGACGCCCCGGTTTGCTCCCTGGTGGTCTGCCAGCTCGCGCGCTGCCTCCAGTTGGTCGAGAGTTTGTTCGGCGGAAGGAAGGAGCCGCGCTTGGATAGTTTCCTCCTCCACCTCATAATCTGAATCCGGGCTGAACATTGGAGCGGCAGGAGGTCGAGTCGTTGTAGTGGACGGCGATGGTGACTGGAGGAATATGCTTATGGTTGTTGAAAGTAGTGAGGTGAGCGAAGGCAATTTTTTGTGATATTGGCAAACAGCTGGAGGAATGGACGTCGTGTAGAGGTAGGAGAATGATTTTGCTGTCTGAGTTTGTGTTTGACACCAGGCAAGGAAACTAAGGAGCTTGTAGAAGAAGCGTTTGCGTAGCGGCAGAGGTCAATGCAAAACTTACGCAAAGCGCTGGTCGAGTGAAATCTGACGAGAAACCAACTTGGAGTGTGGAGAGAGGTTTCCGAGAAGAAATGGTTCCCAGTATTGTATGCAGAGTCCGAGCAGTCGAGAAGATGGCTTTGGCCCTCTGTCTACTTCGGAATGGAACATATCTTTTCTGCTCTTGCAATATAAGACAAACGGGCTACTGCCGCCGAACTGCCTAGGAACTCTACAGATTTCTTCCTTTGGCCCAACAATGCTCCTGATGTGCATGATGACATTGGATCTCTACCGGCAGTTCAGCCACTGACCTTCGTGAATGTGCGTGACACAGACCTGCGACTAAAAGCGACTGACAACTTGCTCAGACTTGTGTCCACCACTGAGCCTTACGACACAACAGCAGCGTCATCCCTGAATTTGACCTAATTTCTGTTCAGTTGCTCATAACGAGATCATGTACCTATGCGCAAGATGGATTTAGGCGTACACTTGCATGCAGAGGAGCAGTTGATTTCGTTGCAGCGCCGGCACAGACATCGATCCCGCATGTTTTCCTCACCTCGCACACGAAGCCGACCGTCATTCCACACCAACCGAAGGCCGAATAGCCAAATACAATGATGGACGAGAATTAGAGAGCCAGAATGGAGAAGCTTCTTGAGCAAATCCGGATCAAAGAGTTGGAGCAGATCCAACGCTGCGACACCAGGCAGTGCAAGGTAATCATCTTCGGCAACCTATGCCAATACTGCATCGATCAAATTGGTTATTGGAAAGAATGGGGAGCTGAGAGGGAAAACTGAGAACGGGCACAAGAGGCTAAAAGTTTTCAGGTGAGCACGCGCTGAAGAGAATTTTGTATTCCGCCACGAGGGCCTCTTTCTCAAGAAGCATATGCTGACAATGGTAATCCAGATCGTGAGGGGCACGGCAACTCAACGACTCCGGTTCAATCTCGACATCGAAATCGACGAGCTCAAGCGTATGACCATCGTTCGGAAGGCGCTCCACATCCTGCTTCGCTTGGCCCCTGCCACGAATGAATACTTTCATCCCGACGAACACTCGAAACCCGGCAAACACCTTGTTCTACTTGACCACAAGATAGACTCAACCGTGCGCATTTTCCGCTACATGAATGAGCACATGGCGGGGTCGTCGCTGTTTACGTACGAGCCGCCAATGATGGCTATAATGGCACATGATACCTAGGGAACCGTTGGAGGTCCTCGAGGCGTGGTTCGACTTGCCCTGTCGAAGAGGTGGGAGACTTTGCACGTGTACTGAGGATGAGACATGATTCCTTGACCGCAGCCTTCTTGTATACTAGAAATATAGGTGCTGGCTGCCAACCATGGGAACATGGTTGTTCAGGATACCGTTGGCGAGAAAGCGGTAAACAACTCCGAAGGCATATGCGCCTGCCAAATGGATTTACAGATATGAATGTGACTATTTTCAACTTGCACTTTTGACGTCTACGTGGCTGCCACGGTCCAGCTGTTGGGGCGTACCGAGTCGTATTCAGACTTTGGCGTATGCAAATGTGATCTTCTTTGTTGCGGCCAAAGTTCCGTATCCATTGTTGAGGGCTTATATCGCAGCGGCTGAATTGACGCATCGTACACCGTCCAAACAAGACGTTGCTCGATATGATTTCGATTTCAAACTTGGTCTCAGACCATGCAGGCGCGCCAGTGATGTGGGGAGGCAAAAGGCGCATTGCAGCCAAGCCATTGCCCTCGGGTGCAAAAAAGAAAGATCATACACAAGCAACCAGGCTTGTAGGAAGTCCATATCAGCACTGCAGATCCATCACACTCTATGCATGAGGTAAAAAGGTCCTGAAAAAGAGCAAAAAAGGACCCTTCCAAGCCAAACTTGGGAGATGATTCTCTGGTAATGGGTTTCTGCCTTGCAGGCTACTGTGTTTGATAGTTCCCTGTGTCACAATGTTAGTAGTCCTGATGGTGGTCCGTCCAGATTGAGGTTTCGACTGGGCGATAGTTCGAACGTTCGGCCTATGGTAGGAAGTCAGCCTGTGTTCTTTCCGAGTGGGCTATTCCCACACCCTTTAAGAGGGCGAAAGACTGAATAATTAGAGCCATTATATAGCCCAAGTCTTTTGATATAGGTAGGTGCCTGGTTGGTAGAAATCCAGAGAGTTGTAAGCGTTGTGTGTGCGTGAGCATGGCGGGACGCGTAGGCAACAAAGTGAACATGAAGACTCTTGACATCTTCACGACTAGCCGCGCAGCCTATGCCTCCTGATTCAGATGACCCATACTATTTGATCTACAAAGGATTGCGTTGGCACAATCTGCATCGGGGGTTTGATGTTCTGCTGCTGGTGCAGCCTTGTGCTCTATCCACACCAGGCGGCATATGTTGATCTCAACCGGCAGCTTGAGCCGCGTTCAACGGCAATGCTGAGCGTGCCGTGAAGAACATTATGACCCCTTAGAAGAGAGAACATATTCTGGTGATTTGTTTGACTTGAAGCTTCAACGAAGAGTCGTTCAAAAACTCTTGGGGTTCCGAATCGCATGAGGTTGTCACCACACAATCCCGATTCAATATGCTGCAGCTGCACAACATAATGCGTGCCACCAGCAAGTAGATAAAAAGGGGCAATTGCAGGTACAGTGATGGCTGCTGGATACATTGCACTGTAGTTCGTGCGTATGCATTTTCTTGTCGGCGGAATCCTGTGGCAGTACCAGCGTCAAAATCCAGAAGTCATGGATAATCGCTGCACCACCCCTATCTTGCTGGAGATCACGCTGAGAAAAGCAGCAGTTTTTTCAAAAAGCTGGAAGTCCTGGGATGACCAAAAGCGCTCGTGCCAGGGGTTGTTCCTTAAGCTCCGAGTAACTGTGCTGCTTCTAGGCACAGTGAGAGGTGCCGTCAGCAAAAAACAACGAGCAAAAAAAGAAGACTGAATGGACACAGCAAGGCTCGAACCAGCAAAAAAAGACATCCTGAAAAGGGCTTCCTACAAGGCATCCGGCGATGTAGGGCATCCCCGAAGGGGTCGTAGGGCCGCAACCCTCCTAGGTACCCCCCGTCAGCACTGTTGTTGATGGAGGGATCCAGAATGGAACAGTATATATAGCCTTAGAGACCGAAGTTGGTAATATCCAGTGAGTTTGGAAGGGTTCCTTAGAGTGAGGGGCAAACAAGGCGACAACAAGGTCTGGGCCCCTTTGGCCGATGACCACCAACAACACCAATACCTCATGGCTACCATTTCTTCTTATTCCAGTTTTTTTTTCGAATACTGGGGCTCCTCGCCTTGGTTTTGCTGATGGGCGTCGGCACCCATGATTTACAATCTGATCCGCAGCGTACTATGCCTCTGGATTGCAGCGGTGCAGTCTTCGCCCACTCCGCATCTTGCAAGCATCCTCCACCACTAGCAAGCCTGGTCTTGACTCTGGCACTTGGATGACAGAGCAACTTATGCTTGTCTAGGGAGACAAGGGTCTGCATCGTGGTTGTTGTCCCCGAGCTCTGATTGAAACAGGTGCATCAGAAACTTCTCGCTCACATGCGCGCAGCAGGCATACAAGCGGGGAAACAACAGATGTGCCTTCCACACATCCCTCCTTACGACAGAGACAGCCTAATCACACAGTTCATTGCTTCAAGTAGCTTCGCATGCGTGTCTTGTACGCGTAAGGTTTGGCGGATGCACTCTAGGATTGGCGTTCACACATCGCGAGCGTCGTTGACCCCCGCGGTGCTCACGCTCCAACACCCCACCATCTTCAGCACCACCGGCAACGACATCGCGACGGCAGAGATTTGCGAAGGCGGCTAGGGGATAATGGGCGTATGGCGAGATGCTTGTTCCCAGTTTCGACACAGAAAGCTGATGAGGCTCTAGAACCAGCGGCGTTGCCGTGCCGGCTTCGCGTGATGCTTTCAACAAGACTCTATCCTCATCGGCTCGTCTCTTCCTCATCAACACCGACTGCAAGCTCCTCCAACCGTACAGATGTACATCGATGGATAATCCAAGCTGCGCCGTGGCTTGCAAGGTCAAGACAAGTCCATCGCAGCGTCATCTCAAACAAGAAGCAGGAGACTGATAGACTTGCCATGCAACCGCACATGAATCGGGGGGAAGGACATCCCACTATTCACAGATTTGAACTGCAGAAAAATTCACCCATACAGTTGCCGGATAGGTCGCAGCAACAGCAGGTTCAGCTGGCATCCCCTGGCTTAAGACTCTGCTCACGGAGGTCCGCGAGCGCGCATCTACGAGCACGGGAGCGCCTACGACATTGAAGGCAGCAGGCGCTACAGAACGGTGAACCTTGATCGCTATCGCAGGTCACATCTGCGAGGTACTCAACGGTCTTAGAGCCAAGGTTGCGAGCTTGCGATGAAGCTGAATGCTGACTTCGAGTGACCACTTGGCGAAGAGGTGGGCATATGCTCTTCAAAGAATAACAGACTCTCTTGACGCCCCAATAACAGATGCTAGAGTCGTGCCGAAATTGCTAGCTGGAAAATAGCTGTGCTGCCGGAGAGTGCCTTCCCATGAGTTTTCTTTGTCCTGACTGACGTTGACGACAGGCCGTTATCGCACATTCCTCGATCAGACACCATTCCGCCTGAAACACCGAACTGGCTCATCACTGAGCTACAGAGCAGCTGAGCATACCAAAGTCAGATCTCCACGGATACACCGCAGCTAGCCACAATGTTGTAACACATAGGAGTATCCAAAAACTACAAATGTTGGGCCGTCCGTGCAGAGCGCCTTCTATGGCCATCGACTCATTGTCGAGAGCTGGTTGTCAGCCAACACCATCATACGGCTGCGAAGCAGCACCATGTGGCTAAGTCCAGCATGTCGGGACACCTCCGCAGATACTGGTCGTCAGGCGAAGGTCAAACACAACATGGCCTGGGATAGGAAATGGCCTGAGATGCACCCAGCCGAAGAGCAAACTGCTGCATTGCACCCGAGCAATCGATGCATTGTCGTCTCATTTCGCATTTCCAGCCTTTGTCATTTTGACAAGACGCAGAAAACCAGTGGGAATAGCGAGCAACACCTGGCCTCCAAGGAAAATGACCAGTTGGCTGTTGCGAAAATTTTACAGTCGGTCGGCAAAGGCAACACTTAGGGTTTCTGAATCCATGCGTTGACAAGTCAAACGGCCTCTACAGGATATTTAGAACAGCTTAATGTGATAGCGTTCGCTTGTAGTCTCGGATGCAGACATTCGATCTGCAACTCAGCTTTCGATTTCAAAACATCTTTTGCTCTTTCCAACCATCCAGACCACAGGTGAGGTACACAGCGTCATCCAATGAGCTGAAGTATAACTTGGACTTGTCTCATAAGAAACAGAATCCTGGTCCGATTGAACCTGCACTGGTAAGGTGAGAAACAACTTGGGTAGCGTCTCAGAGCGGCTCATGTTGTTGTTGTCATGGAAGCAAAGAAAGAGCAGGATCATCCCAGGAGTCTATCAGGATACCTCTTGTGAAGACTTTGGAATACCAGGGACAGGCTGTGTACTAGGCGAGTGGATATTATCCGGAAAGACATTGGTATCTGCAAAGATTCCCCTTACAGCCAAACCTTGTATTCGGACCATGTTGGTGCAAGTTCCATGCCAGCTTCAAGGACATATCAAACCGGAAACCTCCTATCTCGGCCAGGAATGAGAGTAATTTGGTATCCACCTTTAAGATTCCTGGCCTCGTCGGTGTTCAGAATGGCTTTATTGCAATCCGTCTCTTTCGCTAACGTTAAATTAAGAAAGATCTTTACAGCTCGAATCTGGTCTCCTTCCAAATGGTAGATGCCTCAGGGACCCTGACCCGAAGGGAATAATTCGAAATGGAAAACTCGTAATGATACGACACCGACGGATCTCAAGGACACGAATTCCATCCGAGCGCAACGCAGTCTTTGTTCCTTTGGTATATGGATAATTCCGGGTGAGATATGACGCCACCTTTTGTTGGCACACAAACCACATGTGGCATAGTATTGAGGCCGTTGTGTTCATCCATGCCTCTTTCTGCCAATGCCAAGGGGCAATATCCATGTTGGTATTGGCTCAAGATGAGCTCTGGTAATGCCGAAGCCGTACCGAGGAGCTGGTGGGTATGCGAAACTCGAGTAAGCCGACTCCAACACGGGCCAACATGTTGTGGTACGATCGATTCGGGCATCGGTGACCATCTCCTATCTGTGTGCAGACAGCCTTAGGATAACCATTGTGTTCGTAGAGGTATGTATCACATGACCCGAGTGGCCATACCGTCATTGACAAGAGTCGCTCTGGTGTTGACATCGGCGATTCGAAACCGGGATTTGTCCGCGGACAGTATTCAGCTGTCGTGTGCTACCAGCGATGCCCGTCGGATGCTGGCAGTAGCCATTCAAGCTCAGAAGCGCCACATGGTGTGAAGACTATAGCCACAAATGGATCCAGTCATGAAGGAAGCGGTGGATGTCGACCGCTCAATCTGTCATCTGTCATTGAGAGGCGTTCGCGCCTCCTCAGCGGCTGGGTAAGAAGCCTGTATTCCAGGCCCATGAATCTTCTCTTTGCTAGGGCTTGTATGGCTTCGGTCCCTGATGGGGAGGTTGACGGAACCGATGGAGACTTCCGCGTATTACAGAGATTATCGCGGCCGCCTGGACTGAGGAGTCGAGAGTGTGACATTGCCTGAGGTCATGGTAGCTCTTTGGGCGTCTCGAGGTCGTGCAAACTCCGCGCAACGTCTGCATGCGGGAGGTGACACGAGAGTACGACACAAGCTCCAGAGTACTTCTACTTACCTCTATTGAGTTTCTTGGGAGTGTCGCTCTCTCTCGCAATGCTGGTAGCGAGGACCAGCGATGCAGACACCCGAACGCGCTGAGAGGATGCATTAGGGCCAACAGGCCCCACAAGACCTCATTGTCAAAAGAAGGCAAGCCTCTTGATGAAGCTGCCATGTATCGTCAGTATGTATAAGCCGCGATGGATCGGTAGATCAGCGTTGTCATCGGCGTTGGATTGGTACGACGAAGCTTTGCTGCCTGAGGGGTTGGCGTGACGGCAAGAGATGCAGAAGCGACTCCAAGGCCGCATGCATCTTACCGCTCCAGTTCTTCATCTCAAACAAGTATGAGAGAAGAGATACGGAAGTGTGTGGATGGTTTTGTCGAGTTTGATGGCTGGTCGTGGCGGGGTGGGTGTAGTGAGGAGCAAAATTCAGGAGGGGGAAACCACATTGGTGTTGAAGGTCAATGCGGGCTTCAAAGAGAACAACCACCCACCAAGAGTGTGATAGGTGCACGAGGAGAAGGAGGAGAGACTTCAGTATCTTGGGAGGCAGTATAGGAGCAAAAGAGATACAGCTTCGTAGCTTCAGGGCTCGACGTCACTCGAGTCGGACCGAATCCTTCGCGCACGTCCAAGCGAACCATTGTGGAGCTTGGCCTGGGGCCACAAGAAACGCCATCACAAGCAACGCATCACCATTCAAAGATCCAGGAGCTCTTTGGCTGCATCCCCTAAGAGACCCGCAACATCTCTTCGCCAGAATTCTCATAGAGATCTGCTTGTGAAAAGGAGTCTTATGTTATACATGCTCTAGTATGTTTACCCGATACAGCTCTTCACGAATCTGAGTAGTAGCTGACAATCTACAGATACTTTCCAATGACTATACTATAGAAGACTTGAATGCATTCTCTTATTTTCCTTCTCAGTGTTATCTAATTCATTGCCCTGTGTAACTGAATTGTGCCAAGGCTGCAAACTAAACGGACAACGCCCTTACCCACCGCACTTTTAGCGTCAGAAACCTTATTTACACTTCTACTCGCTTCCTTCACCCACTAACCACAGCTGCTTGATCCTTCTCCAAAACCCCATCCTTTGCATGAGTCGCTTCGCATAGCCATGGACAACAGCACAGCGTTGACATGCTTCTTTATATAGCTCATGGCTCCTGATCATTCGTTTCCCTTTGTCTACAAGCAGCAAGACGGCCTGACCCCGCCAGGGCAAAAGGACATCATCCGGAGTCACCTCTTGTATCTCCATCAACATGGATCCATCCTTGAGAACTAACCAAGAAAAGATAATCTTCCGTCATACTACATCTCAAGCTTCTATTCTACTCCCCTTTGCCAGAAGCAGCGTCGACTCGATGACCTGCCAAGCTTTGACGACTGTGTGACTTCGGGCTCGAAGAAAAACATTGTAGACTGACTATTGCAAGGGCTAACAAACATATCGTTTTGAAATAGGTATGAACAAAAGCACTGGAGCTACTCTCTCGCAACATGAATACACAAGACCGATCACGATCGTCACAATGTTCCTTCGGATACCGTATGCATGGTTGTGGGGTAACATCTCTCCTTGTAGCTACAAGGATCCTAAAGACCATACGCCCACTATCCAGATCGCTCCTCATCACAGGTACCAATGCAACGCAGAATCCGGCCATATTGCTGCTTCAATTGGTTTTGTGTTAAGACACTTGAGCGTCGACAACCCCGAACCTCGTTGATGAACGATCACATTTTGCACATACGCTGTCACGATAACAAGCAACTCTACACCAACATGTCAATACTATCACTTAACAATTTCTTTTTGCTCGAAATTCGCCAGCTACCTGGATAAGTCACCAGTCATTACTCTGATCCCTGCGTACGCCAGCTGTTCCACCTTCGCGAATCGAGCAATACTTGGATCCTCGTTGATATATATACACAGCTATCGCGGCTCTGAGTTGCCTGCCATACTTAAGTACACGTCGATGTACCTCTACATCCATCGCCACTCCAGAATACTTGAATATTATCGACGCCCTGAACCAGAAATTTCAAATACTAGTACGCCTCATGTGTATGTTCATATCATGTCACATTCGATCATTTGACCAAATTACGGAAACAATGTAAGGCTAGTTATACGGTCTCATAAAATGGTAAGCCATGTGGTGATTCGATAAATTCCTCGACTCAACCGACATTTCACTATATCACCTACATCTGCATTTTGTCTTTTTGTACATCTTTTCTTCTCACCAATGCCTCTATCTTCACTTTTCGTCTTTGCTTCTTACATCTATGTCTCTTTTCCCTGTCTTCTTGCCTTCTTTCTTTCCATATTTTTGTTCCATTATCCTGCCTTTCGTTAAAACCTCAGCACATTCAATCAACTATATGTCCGACCACATACAAGCAATTAGGCGTGGACGAATTGACACAGATATAGGGGACATAGTGTGTCGAGATAGCCTTCAGCAACACTCTTCCTTCTGACGTATAGCTAGGGCATCA